CTTCAACAAGCGGCACAGTGGCTACACAATGCAGTCAAACGCTCTAGCAAGGATCAGCCACATGCACACTTCTGGGTGAGCCCGAAACCCAAGTTCAGCTGTTAGCATCTTGGCCTGTTTAAGAGCATGACAAGTCCCGGCACTTAGAAGCGCACCCAGAAAGCAGAAACGCATAACAAGGTCGGGCCGGAACCATGCACCAACTTTTCTTGGAAGCATTCGTCGGGCGTCATTTTCAACAAAATCCTTCTTGAGCAGAGCCCAAACTCATAAATCCTCGCCAGCTGTAAAGAAAGAGCACTAGTGGATCGAAGCAATAACTCGCAAGCAAAGGACCGTAACACAAGCATAGCCGCCTGACCTTAAGAAGGGACACGGTGGCTTCAACATGTCGTCGAGCGCTCTAGCATCAGCTCGGTTCACAATTCTGGATGGCTAAAACCCTTGTTCCGACGTCTGGCATCCAAGCTGGCTCAAGGGCATAGCAACACCCGGAACATAAAGAGAAGCGTAGTCAAAAGCAGGAACAGATGACGAGCTCTAGTGCGCTAGATTTGCTTGGCACCATGCACCGGATTCTATCAAAGCGACCGTTGGGCGTCAACTGCGACAAGCGTGTCCTTGGGCGGAGCCCATGTTCATGAATCCTTGCCAGATGTGAATAAGGAGAGAAAGTATAGAAGCAGGGCTCGCAAGCAAGAGACGTTGAAACGAGCCCCGCCGCTTCCGCCTTACAATGGCACAGTGGCTTTGACATGCCGTCGCATGCTCTAGCGGCTGCTCAAATCGCAGCTTTGATTGGGCCCAAACCCACGTTCAGCTCTTGGCATCTGGCTGGCTTAAGTACATAGCAACTCCCGTCATTCCGAGAGAACCGCAGCCACAAGGCGAAAAGAATGACGAGGTCTCCGCTGAACTCGTCTGGCACCATGCACTATATTCTCTTCGAAGCAATTATCGGGCGTCAACTGCATAGGCAATCTCGTCCTTGGGCAGAGCCCAGCTTTACGAATCCTCGCCAGCGATAGAAAAAGAGCGATAGTGAAAGCAGTGCCTTGCATGCAGAGGACGTACAACGAGCACCGCTGCCTGACTTTAAGAGGCGGCAGGGCTTCGACATGCCGTCGAACGGTCTGCAAGCATCAGCTCTATCTACACCTTTAGCTCGATCTACTGGGCCCAAAACCCACACTCGAACTCATGGCATCCCGACTGCTTCCAGAGCATAGCAACAACCGACCTCGAAGAGAAGCGCCTCCAGAATCAATGACACATAGCGGGGTCTACGCTCAACTAAAGTTTGGCACCAGGCACCAATTCCTTTCCAAGCAAGTGTCTGGCGTCAACTGCGACAAATCCGTCCTTACGCAGAGCCAGAATCATAATCCTCATAATCCTCGCCAGACATGACAAAAGAGAGATAACGGAAGCAGTGCCTCGCAAGCAGAGGACAGGAAAACGAGCACCGCCGCCTGACCTAACGCGGCGCGCACAGTGGCTTCGACATGCCGTCAGATGCTTTAGCATCAGCTCGATTCACCTCTTTGTGAGCCCAGAACCCACTCTCCAACACTTCGCATCGCGGCTGGCTTCAGAGCATAGCCGAAGGGGCAGTGGCTTCGACATGCCGTGTAAACGCTTTAGCATTGGGTCACTTCAGAGCTTTGGGTGGGTCCAAAACCCAAGTTCCAACTTATGGCAGCCTGGCTGGCTTCATAGCATAGCAACCCTCGAAACTTTAAAGAGAAGCGCAACAAAGAAGGACGAGGTCTGTGCTGAAGTCGTCTGGCACCATGCACCATATCCTTTTCTGAGAACATTTGTCGGGCGTCAACCGCAGAAAAGTTGTCACTGGGCGGAGCCCAGGTTCATAGATCCTCGCCAGATATTATTAAAGAGCGATAGTGGAAGCAGTGCCTCGCAAGCCAAGGACCGTAAAACGAGCACCGCAGCCTGACTCAAGAGGCCGCGCACAATGGCTTCTGCATGCAGTCGAACGCTTTGGCATCAGCTCAATCAGCACCTTTTGAGTGGGCCCACATTCCAAATCTTGGCATCATGGCTGGCTCAAGCGCATAGCGGCACCCAGACCTCGAAGAGAAGCGCATCCTTTTGCAAGTAACGAGGTTCGCTGAACTCGTTTGGCATAAGGCACCACAATGATCTCAAGAAAGCAATTGTCGGGCGTCAACTGGGCAGAGCCCAATCTCATAAATCCTCGCCAGACATGAGAAAAGGAAGAAAGTAGAAGCAGTGCCTCGCAAAAAAAGAAAGCACCAACGTGACCTAAGAAGCGGCACAGTGGCTCCGACATGCTGTCGAACGCTTTAGCATCAGCTCACTTTGCAGATTTTTGTGAGCCCAAAGCCCACGTTGCAACTCTTGACATCCTGGCTGGCTCAAGAATCCAGCAACCTTCAAAACTTAACAAATCAGCGGACCAAGGGAGCAGAACCAATACTTTAGAATCGTTTGAAGACGCAAACTCCGGATTGGGGCACGCCAGGTTTAGCTTCGAACATGGAAACACAGTGCATCGACGTTTTCCAAGCAACTTTAGGCGTCAAACACGCAACCACCATCCCTTGGGCAAGCCCAATTTGATGTATCCTTGCCGGCTAACCAAAATTGACAGAGAGCTCTTATCGAAAGCAATGTCTCAAAAACGTTAAGACGAGCACAGCCGAATCTGATGGTTGGCTTCTTACATACGACCGTCACCTGGGTGATAAACCAGAATAGCTGGCAGCGGGTCCTGCTCATTTCGGGCATCGGCCCCCGCAGCTCATGAAGCAGAAAATATGTGGGCTCCGGGTAATTGATGCACAATGGCCGCCCTCGATATTTGGTTGCAAGTTTTGCAGACCAGACCGGCAGCTAGCGCCCCCGGCCAGTCATAGACGGAAGCAGCATGAAGCTAAGAGTCTACAAGAGCGCATATAGCAAACAAGCAACGACAAGCCCCAGAAACACGGGACCTTGTCAAAACCAACAATCACTATAGCTCCACGCATGTTCCAGGGGGAGGTGGCACGTGCTGGCTGTGGAAAAAGGTCCGCGCCGATTGTGGGGGAATACCGGGAGCTGACCACGTCGGCGCGTTGCAAATAATCTTGAAGTTGAATGCTATTTTTGAAGAAAATTCATGCCGTCACTTACGATTTCGGATCAATGTGCGTTGAATCCGTGAGCGAGTCTTGAGATTGTGACCACGCCTTTCCGACAGTGTTCCGGACCCAGAAGTGACCATTTTGACATCATTGAGGAACTCTAATCAGCGGCGCAATCGAGATACGACTCGTCCGTGGCCGAGGCCAATAACGAATAAAAGACGAGTAGGAAGGTAAAGAGTCACCCCAGCGATTCGTAAGAAACTCAAGGACGGGCCAGGTCCTGGATTTTAAAGATCAGCGTGCATATATGGGAGCACCGAGCACTTCAACGTCGGATCCTGCGAGAACGATGCTGAGCAAAGCTTGCTGTCGCCATCGGTGTTTCCTGCAAAGCGTACACCATCAGTTCGCTTTCCATGCCACATGCACAGTAGAGCAATCCTCCAGCCCTGAAAACAGACAGCCTGGCGCTTTCAGGAAGACAACTGAAGAGGACCAAAGGCAACATTGACTTGGACCCAACCGACAACCCAACCAGAGTTGGGCTTGTAGTAACCAATAACGAACCTCAGAAAGTCGGGGCGTCAGGCGCTTTAGTACAACCATGGCACAGTGAGCCAGCAACGGGGGGGCGCGCGCTCCATCACAGCCAACCTTTAGCGACCCGCACCCCAAACCAAGAAAAAAAATTAAAAGAGGCGGGGACCGGAGCAGGGAGTGGAAGAGAAAGAGGGAGAATTGCAGCAAGGGAGAAAAGCAACCGCTTTGGCATCAAACTTTTGCACTGCAAGCCTTTCTGAGCGGAGCCCATGTGCCGCTTGGGACTTCTTTGCCGTCCATGCGAAGACGTCGAAGAATTAAGAGGAGCAAAGACTTACGAACAGCAGGTGGTGAAAACAAGCAGAGTCGAAAATGACTGCCTAGAGATGAGTCTCGGAAGGCGGAGCAGGAATTAAATGCTAAAGCGCCGAGAACGAGTCAACCGGCAACTAGTCGTGACGTGAGTCTATCAGCAAGGGTTTAGATCCAACTAATGTTACAGGGTTACAGGGTTACAGGGTTACAGGGTTCGGAGTTTACTGAGACTGCTTATCTAATTTCAGATAGCCCGGAATTCGACACGAGCTAGGGCCGCCTGTTTCATAGCACACACTTGGTTTGCATGAGCTGACTATGTGCGACGAAGTACATATGACTGCAAACGAGGACACAAACTTGCAGTGGCATCAGGCACTTGGATCGAAATCCAACCTTTACTCGCGCACCATCACATGCTGCGAACAAAGTGGAATGCCTTCACAGCCAGCGCGCTTGCATCATTCGTGCAAATCAGACGTGCAAATCAGATAATAAAAAAGCAGGGAGTAACGTCACAAAGCTACGCCATAAATGATTGCTCGGCAGGCAGAGTCATGAGCACCAGACGCCCATGAAAGTAGCGAAGGGGGTATGGCATCCGTTACTGATTTGGCGAGGCAGCACAACATACTCAGATGACATTCACTTGCCGTTGGGTATGGCATCCGGACTCGACCGATTCCCGAACTGAGCGCAGCGCACTCAATAAGCTGTCCTTGCCAACCATAAGCAGAAGAATTTGGAGGATCCGATACAAGCGCATCCAAGGACAACCATGCACAAAGGCGGAGACAAGGGTTTTCTGGTCACGAAAAATGACCCTAGAAACGCTCGGCATCTTAGGGGCAGCCCTTATGATGGCACCGTCTGACCGTTACGCTTCGGGCCGCCTTCAAAGAGTTTCCAGGATGACGAAAAGCAACAGTACTCTCAGAGGGATTCACCTCAATCAACGGGCCTTCTTTTTGAACGCATAAAGCAGTCGCGTGCAATTGTGTCTTGCACGCAGCGCAACGAGACCTTTATAAGGAAAGGACTCATGAAGAAGATAGACATGAAAAACATAATTGCGGAAACCTCGTCGCACCTCTCGGAGTTCGGAGCGAATAGCTGCAAAAATCTATGTCGACCATCCTTTCGTGGACCTGGCTTCGCTGAAAATCCAAAGTTCTCACCAATCGAGCAGAACTACAAAGGAAATCGGCTGAACAAAGACATAAGAACTAAAAAGGTACGTACTCAATGATTTTGCTTGAGTTGGATGATGACGAAAATTGTATTATACAGAGGAAAGTGTCCCACACCGTTATGTACAACCTAGTCACTCACGCCTTTCAACGCAATCCTATGATTGTGCCGCCGCAACTTGTTTCTCCAACTTCCCGGTCACCCCTTCCTTGAGCGAGGAGAAGTACTGGGTGTAGTCCCGCGGGGGCGGCGGGTTGGATGGGTCAACCTCGAACGGCACGCTGAAGGGAACCGTGCTTTTAACCTGCGCAAAGAGTAGGTATGAGGACCGAGCTTTGTGCTGTCCCCTCGATCTGCTCGACAACATCTGGACGAACAGCAAGGGTTCCTATCACCCTGAAATTGCATCCTTGCAGAAAAGTAGCTCTTATCGTGTTGAAGATGAGCAGTCGTACTTATCAGAGAGCGGATGCGCGCGATTCGCGTCAAGAAAGCAAGCCAATCGAGAGTTGGCAAGCATATTGCCGGTTCTATCATGTTCAGAAACTGCCAGCAGGGAGGACTGGGAAGCTAATTTCCGAAATCGCCAATCGTGGCTCAAAGGACCTTGCTTGTACAATTGGTTCAACTTGACACAAACCGAGTGCAGGCTCTGAGGAAAGCACGACAAAATATGCAACAGTCAGCACTTTTCGCAGTCTACTTCCGTGGAAAGGCAAGGGCGCAACTTAGGGGCAAAGGCTGCCATACCCGAGAGTCAAGAGAAGTGGGTTTGCTTTGCCGCCCAGTTCCTTCAGAGAAGAGTCTGGACTGTTGACCGAGAGAGAAACGATGGCCGCCCTCACCTCAAAAGTTTTATCGAGCGCTTCGGGACTGGCGAGTGCGGCAACACATATCCTCGCCACCTCTTCCCGCCCAATCTTGCCCTGGACAACAGCTGCGGGTCTCACTTCAACACAGAGATGACGTGCTATATCCGCTTTGATTGCGCTGAACATTCCCCCACGATACACAATACGTTCAGACTGATACGGAGCTTGTAAGGGCCTCTTGACAATGCCTCTTGACAATTGATACGAAGAATCTTCCAGTACTCAGCCAAGAGCCGTCCCTGAGGAAGGCCAGCTTTGTGAGCAACTAGTTTCGAGCGGGTCATTCCTTCTAACGAAAGATTGCAGTGACAAATAAGAATATCAACCCTTTTTGATGGATTGCAAGCGTTTTCCCTCACTTCTACTCCAATAGTCGCGTCATTTCAGACCGCAGAAAACTACTCCATTCTTGGGCGACCTCGAGCAGCAACATTACCGTGATATTGTCGCCCTGATCAAATTGGAGCTCCGCCCCCGCCGGCTCCTCTGTTAGCGCGCACGGCCGAATGATCGTGTACGGCACACCGCTGCTCCTGACGACGTCTTCCCCCTGAGAGAGCGACAAGTGTCAGCGGCTCGTACAATCCCTCATCTACGGACTTACGTGACAGGTAGGAATCTACTCGCGAAAATCCTTAAAACGTGAATACTTGACAATGCTAGGTGCAGATTTGCATGCAGATCATGCTAGACGAGGGCGTTCTCGAATCCCTTATTATCTGTTGGCGCCCAAGAAGCAGGTCTACATCGGATCATGGTCGCCTTTTCAGCCACATTGAAGGAGCAATCGTGACAACGCAACTGTCACCTGACAGTTGCGGACAATACCGCAACTTCGCAGCAACCGAATCTGACAACCGTCTCGTAGAGCACAAAAAACAAGTGCACAAAGATCAAAACTTTACACTTTGCCAAAGTGATTAACAGAGCGCTTTGCAGGTCCGCTTAGACTAGGATCCGAAATAGGTCAGTGGCAGCAATTATTCACGCGCCGGCGGACTCGTGTATGCATTCCATTGTGCACTAATGACAGACACTTTTGATGCGCTCTGCTCACGTGCAATGGGTCTAAGAAGGGGCTGCTGAAGCTCGGCATTCCCTTCAGATTTTCGCCCTCCCAACCCACCGGAAACTGAGTACTGCTACCGGATTGGCTGACCGCTCATCTCGAATGACACTCAGAAACCGCTCACAGCCTCCGCAAAAGAGAATTACTCGGATCATAAGTCGTGACTTCGGTTCCCTTGACGGAAGCGGAACCGAATGCTTTGCCTCAGAAGCCTAACCATGAACTTAGTGGTTTAAATGAACTTCGTATGCAGAGAATATGCTAGATCCGGACTACCGACAACATGTACCTTGAGCTTGTATGTCAAGAGGCCGCCCAGTTGATCATTCATTCGGACGGCCGGCGGTTGCTTATCAAGGTCCAAGCCCGGGCGTCCGGGCCGAGTGACGCCAGCAGAACCCACGTGGACAAATCTGCACCGAACGTTGCACAGATTGCTTAAAATACCTTTCGAACAGAACTTGGCCTCTCACTGTCTGGCGGATTCTGAGCAACTTGTAACAGCCCACCTGTTTCGGTCTGCATAGCAAGACGGAGTTCTCGGGAAATTTCTGTACGACACCGTTGCACTTGAAGCGCCGACGAGTCGATGACTCGCAGGACACACTCTCCATGAAAAGAGTTGTAGAAAGGGAGCACTCGGACATCACCGTTCAAAAACACCGAAAGGTAGATTTTATATGCCAAACGTAAGCCGCAGCAATGATAGTGAACCTTGTACGCAGGGCCCCGGATGCAGAGTCTTCATACATCTGATCGGTTCCACGGTTTGCAGAGCATTATTGAAAGAGAGAGATATAAGAACAGTGTATTCAAGCGCCGACCAATGTCAAATCTGCTGACGCACGTTATATGGCAACCGAGATGCAAGCCGACATACTCTACGTCGCCTACTGTTGCCACAGCATGCACGTTATGACGCCCACTTTAGGATCCGCTTCGAACGCATGCCGGGCATTTGCGCACCAACATATACTCCTGCGAATATGTTGCTTGCTGAGAAAAGCTTAACGTGAGGTGGGTCTTTGGGATACGACTCACTTCGGCGTGATGGGCTCCTTGAGGTACGCCTTGATTGATGCTACGGGTAGCTCAAACGCGCCGTCTTCGTACGTGGGATTAAGCTCACCGTCGGACTCGAACTTGCTGAACATCAACTGCACAGATGAAAGCGGCAATGAACCTTTTGAGGACGACTAAACTTTGTCAAAAATGGATCTGGTGGAGAATTGCTCTTTCCAAAGCTTTCAAAATTCCGCCTTTGAGGGAAAAGGTGGCTTGCAGGGCACGAACTTGTTAATCAGAAGCTCATGTGAATGCTATGAAAACGAGGTAACACTTTACCACTTCGACTTGAGAGGACTCTTTTCGACAGCCCGATAAGGGTGTATACAAGACTTGGGGGCAGACTGCCGGTTTCAAGATCTACTTCATAACTACGGAATGTCGAGGAGAAAGTGGCTTCAGCTCCAACATCCGCGCAATCTAGCAAACGCTAGAGAGCGGCGACCGTCACGGCCACTGTCATGGGGCCTCCAACCTACAGTCCGTCCTATGTGCGAGAGTATAAATGATATTCGCACAAGTTCAACAAGGAATGTAACTAGAGAAGGATGCAGAGCCCCTTGCACAGTCGTGATAAGGAATGAAGTGAAACGCGACAACAGACTGGTCACTCAAAAGGCGGGCTAAACAAACTCTGTGACTGAAAACCTTCGTCCAGACGCCGAAGCTCTGGCAATTCGATCCATACCCTGCGTATGCATTCTTCGCATATCTGAAATGGGCCGATGATCCCGCTTCATTCTGACTTTGAAAGCCCCCCACGCCATTTCCCAAGCATAAAAAAGTATCGAGCTGTTAATCAGCTCGACATGCAAAGTTTTGCAAGCACGGAATGCCAGAGCGCCCGTAAGGGTAGAAGTGTGGAAAAAACAAAGCTGCCCCTTGGGACTTGCATCGTAACGGCGTGGCAACAAAGGCTGTGTGGAAGACGGGTCTAATATCTATGGCCGCAAAGGCCAACAACATTCTGGATGCACGAATCACAGCCGAAGTCACCGGACCTCCGCCATTATCCACCAAAAAAGCAAATAAAAGCACGAGAGATAAAGTGTAACCAGCCGGGCGAAAGAGCATGTGTATTTGACAAACATAAGCAGTTTCTTTATGCTTTCTTCAGCTCCTCCGATCCGCATCCACTAATAGAATTCATCTGAAATACGTCGTGATAGCCTTGCCAAGATGGTAGGCGCTCCGGCGTCAAGAAGGCAGAAATTCTGCGGAAGCCCATGTGTTCTCGAGCATCCTTGCCGGTAGATGCAATTGATATTAAGAGCAAACAGTAGAGGGTTGGGTTTAGCGGCGACAAGAAAGAGCGGCATCGCAGAAACGAAAGCAGGAAAAGTGATGCTGACCCGACGGAATGAATCCGGAGACCGCCACTCGTTGCGCTCTTAATACGTTCAAATGCTTGACTAAGAAAAGCCAATTATATCGCAACGACAAATGTACTCTACCAACACGAAAGCTCATCCACCGAACGCAGCGTTTCAGTGAAGCTGCAAAATACGCCGTCAATAAGGACATCAAACTTCAATTGACTGCAACCTTGGTTACCAGTCAATCGGAGTACTCGTAACCAAGGTTGCAATAGCAGAAGCTTGGTCTTTACTTCCGCTTGCACAATTGAGCATCATGCAATCGACTGACAACATGTCGTCCAAATGGAAGCGGGCAACTGCCTGCAAATGCTATCGCGGCTTCAAATGGGCACTGCAATGGCTTTCGGAACAAGTTCCGGAGACACTTACAAAAGCGTTGAGGCATCGAGTCTAATAGAACCGGCAGCACACGATGCGAATTTTGTAATCTGACTGGAACGCACGGCATGTGGCTTCCGTTACAAGAACGACGCATGGAAATGTGGGCGCCGAGTTCGCCCACCGCGAAGCGTTTCGTCATTCCCACTAGACTTTCTGCGGACAGGACGTGCTACTGGCGACTGTACAGCTTAAGGGTGTCGGGGCAAGGCATTGCGCTAGTCAAGGTGTTCCGGATCAACAGGCTGACTTTGACTGTGTCACTGCCATCGAAGTACCTCTCATGCCGATTATATCCGGTCCCACATCTTGCACTGCCACGTGATCATCGAGCAATCGCAACCACACGTTGTAGGGTTTGGCAATGGCGTCCACCATGGTTGCGCAAATGGCGGAATGCAATAGCATCCTCCATTCTCCACAGTTTCCAACATTGAAAAGCAGTAACACACATGCTTTCAGTGGTTAGGTGTGTTACTTGTGAAGGAATGGCGGAAAATGGCTTCCTTTGAAAGCCTTTTGCTAGATTCTGTGCAAAGAAAGCGCTTGGTCAAGTTGCGGGTTTATTATGCAAGATGTGGGACCGGTTATAAATGGCATGAGCCTGGTATTAAGCGGCCACAAGCTACGAAGACGTGAATTGCCTTTCAAGCCGCGTGATTGACCCTCTAGCTCGCTCGAAACTTGTGCGGTGTTTAAATAGAACGAGCTGGATAGTGGCATCAGATCCCAACGAAAGTGACTTGGCTTGCAAATACAAGCAAGCCGCCATCAGGAGCAGTCACAGCCAAATTGGCTACCCAACAGGGCAGTCGGGCCTTGCTTCGAAAGGAAAATCTGCCTGTCACAAGCAATCTCCATAAGCCGCGAGTTGAACCGACAGATCAGTCTTCGATCAGGCTCGTATGTCTAAAAGGGCACGCTGTCAAAATTTCGAGGAAAGCAGATATTTTTGCTATTTTAGTCAGGGAAGATATGGGGCTCGAGACGATCCTTCAAGACTGAGCAAGACGCTCAGCAATTGATGGATAGACGATGGACATTAGCACGGGCTCACAGACCGCCTTGAGTTTTGAACAGTGTAGTTGGTGCTGAACAGTATTGGAAAAGCAACCGACCAGCGAAATCTGTGGAACGACTGCGTAAAAAGCGCCATATTATGGCCTCAGAAGCACACCGATCATTGTTTCCAAAGGTTTGCCTTCTATCATTGCCATCTGGAAAGCGCCACCTTGCCCACCAACGAGGGACCAGCGAAAAGATGCATTGGATGCAGACGCTAATGCGCAAATGCGAAGGTCGGAGGTGTGGTCGAAGCAAAACATACGGCACTAACAAGGGTCCATCAGCAACACTCATCACCTGCGGGTGGGGACTCAAAACGGCTTACAGTCTCGAACGCCTATGGTATACGTACACTGACCGCATGGAGAAATGGCGGCCGTCACAGTCATTGCCATGGGCCCTCCAGCCCACAGCCCGTGTTTTTTTGAGAGTGTGTTTCTTCAATGTGCAAGCTTTCCCAAAGTCCTTCAACCAAAGCCTAAGAACGGGTTCCGGTCGGCCGTAGAAAGGAGCGAATGAATGCGAAGAAAGGACGGTCACTCGAAACTCGGCAAGACGAAAGCCTGACAGACGTTCAAGACTAAATGGTCGTCGCAAGTTGGCAGTCCGCTTCGGTGCCCAAAACAATGTGCACAGTGCTTATGCGCGTGGCACAATTGAGATACAAAAGATACTCGCTCGTTGAAGCTGGACGTTTCTAGAAACCCTGAAAATATTTCTTGCAAACGCAAGTTGGTAAACCAGAGCTCTTATCCGGCTCAAAACCCGAGCTTTCCACGCGTAAAAAGCTGGGAAGCCGACGGGAGAAACAAAGACAAGCCTGCCCCTTGCAAGCTTGTTAGTGCGATGGCATCGTATGCGAAGGCACGTGATAGCCTGAGAGGCCAGCAGCAAGGTTGCCTTGATCACAGCCGGCCTTTCAACTAGTGGTCTCGCCCCCTTTACTAAAGCGCAGAAAAAGAAACTCAAGAGCAGACCCCGCAAAGCAGTTCACCATCGTTAGCAATTGTATGCCATGAAGCGGGCTCGTAGCTCGGAACTTTAGCAAAGCATTACAAGGAAAATTGGGACGCGAAAGCGTTCGTTTGTCCGTCAGGCGATTTGCATCCGCAACGGCATTCATTAGGCAAGCCCATGCGGCGCTCTGCAACCGTCCCTGCGACCGAACGCATTGGCACAACTTAGAAGAAGCAATCGACCAGCGGGATTTCTGACGGAATGGGAGCGCAGCCCCTGTACGAAAGAAACAACAACGGTAGTGATCGGACATGATAATTTTGAAGACTGCTGCTCCGACTGGTACCTCGTTGAAATGTTCGACCAAGGACAGACTGATCAAGTACAGGCTAACAGCAACTAGACATCACCAAGTCGGCCTTCATCAGGTGCGCACATTTCAAGTGCGATCTTTAAGCCGTGACTTCAATCCATAACGACATCAACCTTACATTGCCTCCATCCGGCTACTCCAGGAAACATCCAAACACCCTCAGAAGGTCTTGGCCCCGAGCTACAAATCCTAGCAAAAGTTGAGACTCGTAAGGTATGGAGAGGCTCAGCGCCAACTGAAGGTCGAACGTGATTTTGAACGGCTTTAAAGCGCCACTTGGTTTTGAGATAGCTGATCTGTTGCTGTGAAGCTAAGGAGGAGCAAATAACAAAAGCAGATGTGTTTGATGAAGGCGCGATAAAGCGCCACAATGCGGCTTCAGAAGCAATGTCACCAGCGACCTTGGAATCATCCAAAGGAAGCCTTCTATCATCACCATATAAGGACTACCCAGACCCGGGCCCAGTAAGAGCGAAAAAATGGTTTCACCACGAAGGCTTTGGCAAAAGACTTCTCAAGATCCACCAGATACCGAACGTAACAAGAGGAAGCCAGGTCGTAAAGCTATTAGAGGATTTAATGAAGAGGGTCAGTCGACGCTATCAGATATTTCGAGGCAAGACTCGCACACGCATGCACTGATTACATTTGCACACGCCAAGAAGCGATGGCCGTCACTTCCAGTGCCGCGAACATTCCAGCCCACAGCACATGTTTTCATGGAGAAGGGCGAGATTAAGGTTGCACGTGTACGTGAGAACCTTCCAGCCGCTAGAAGCGAAGTTGTTTGTGTTGTGAAGTTGGTTGTGAAGTTGTTTGTGAAACGGAAGTAAAATTGTCAAGACTGGACATTGATCCAAGCACCGGGGTAAAGAAAGCTGGACTTGCCAGTTCCAATCTGGTCTGTACGCGTAAACTGAAGCTCTGACAACCGTTGCTATCTACACGGTGCGTACGCTCGATTGAAGAGCCTACACCCACTGAATGCCCGCCTAGTCAAGCTGAACTCAAAAGCGTCTAACGCAACCTCAAGAGAATCCAAAAAACTAGAGCTTTGAGTCCAGCTCGATGGTCCAGTTTCGTTGAACCACGGACAGAGAGCGCTTACGGGAACACAAGCATCGAAAAAGCAGAGCTTGTCTCTTGCAAGTATCGTAGCACGGTGACATCAAACGCTGTCCGGACAAGATGGAGTGGCCTGAGAAGCCAATCAAAAGGACCTTTTGATCACAGCCATTGAAGCGATCCATGTCGCCCATTGCAAAGATGGAAAACAGAGAGCGAACCCAGCCGGCAAACAAGTTGGCGTCAGACCGATTACAATAAGACTTAGCCATATTGCTAAACCGTAGGTAGCAATCACGGCCAACCTATCAAGTGTACCTTATAGCCAGTCACCCTCGTGTCGCAATGTACATCTCCCACATACATTTTTCTCAACGCGCTCTTTTACTTGCTGAATAGCTGATGTCACTTTCTCAGAGACCTCTGGGATTGGGACTGATCACTCCACGAATTTCGCGCGTTGTCCTCCTGACAAACTTGGAAAGCAAGAGACGCTCAGCGTGGACCAGCGTGTAGAGTACCATCCATAAACTGAAGTCCGGGCTTGCAAACGATAACCAGGTCTTTGAAAGGAAATAAAGTTGGCATTGGGCGGAAACGAGGAACAGACGACCAAATGACGGGTTTCAAACGAGTGTGCGACAAGCGCTAGGTTTGGCTTCGGATGTAGGAGTGGGCAAGACCTTGGAAACTCTAAAGGTTGCTTCTATCACTGCCTATGAAGACTGCTACCGCCAGACCCACCAAGAGAGAGATAGTGAAAAGAAGGCTGTCCAATGTCAGCAGGAATGACAGAAGGTTTCAGTATGATTCATCCTACATGCGGTTGAGAGGAAGCATGTCGGGGCGTGGTCGAGTAAAGAAAAGGCAGCCGAAAGGGTCACTGGCCCACGTGTGATTAAGAAGCGGGAGTAAGTAATCGATAATCACGAGCAACAATTGCAAAAGCCAGGATCCCGGAAGCCATAAAAGCTAACGGCTTTACTAGTCGGTGAATTCCAATGCCCGCGTTCCAAGCTCAACGAATCGCAACAATAGAAAAAGACCTCTCCTTGATGCAAGCACAGAAGCTAGACGAGCAAAGAAAGGACCTTTCAGCCAAAACCAAAGAAAGGACCTTATAGTCAGAAGATATCAGCACTGCACACAAAGCTTCAAACCAATGTTAGCAAGGCCAGCCACGTGGCGTCTGTCCGGTAGGGCAGAGCCCATCTGCTCTTGAGCATCCATGCCAAACAAAAAAAGAAACAACTCACTCAAACATCACGGGCAATAGAAAAAAGTTTAAGAAGAGAACTTTCGAGTGGAGACTCGACATACATGCAATAAGGCTCCTATCAGGGCACACACAAAAGGGCATACATTCATCATTTATCCAGGTTAAGTGCTGCGATTAAAGCTAGGTACAGATTTCCAGCCGGCGAGATGGGACATGGTACCGAATGGCGGGCTCCCAGTCAAGGGACCGCCGACGAGGGCACAAGGAAGCACAAGCGAAAAACGGCAAGAAAAAGCACACGCGACAAAGTTCTCAAAGAAATGGAAACTCCTGAAGCGGAAACGCCTGAAAACGGACGGTATAGCACCGCTTGGAGCGGTCTGTACGAACTTGCGAAGCATCAACAGCCCAAAAGGTCATGCGTATGAAGAAAATGTTCCGCACAAATAGGGAAGCGGGCTCAGAGCGAGGAAGAGCAAAAGGGTTGACTGGCGATACAGCCAATTCAGTGGCGGCACGATCACAGCCACTCCCGCGAACGTCTACGTTCCCGCGAACTGCGGTGAGATGCATTCTAGAGCAAGCCGAACTGCCTTCAGAGCGCGAGGAACAGTGCGATGACGGCGCGGCCAACTAGGGCAAGGTTGCAGAACCCAAAGTTGCTACCTCACGGTACTGAGGTGTCAGGAGGTGTGAAAACTACAGGTGCGTAGTGAACCAGCAACAACGCCACAGCCATCACGACCTACTTTTGGCAATCAGCCCTAGGCAAAGCAAGAAAACCGACGAAGCGGAAACGGGCTGAGACTAGACCGGGGGAGTACGAAGGGTGAAAAGGGTAAAGGGCAAACCTCAGCGAGGCAGAAAGAAACGCTTCGGCATCGACCGCCAAAATCATATTTGAGCACAGCCCATGCGACACTTGATCAAACGTCATTGCCGACCATGCGGAAATGTTGAAACACAAGAGGAGCGGGCTGTTACAGCCAAAGGAACTGTACTCAGTAGAATCGCATTGTGAATGCTTAGGAGCCAGCTGACTGACCAGCAAAGAGTTTAATCTCGAAAGGCAAAGCGCAACAGGTGCTAGGAGGCCGCGATTTCAACGGCAAGGGCATGCAACCAGAAGCAAGATCTAGACATCTGCCTTCGTTGTCCTCAAACAAGACTTTGATGAAACGGCATAACAGTTCTTTAAGGGGCCTGTGAGATGACGCGCTCGGGCAGGATCTCCTTGAACTCGCAGGTCAAATTGAGCAAAGCGTGTGCCATGATAAAAGTCAGTGGAAGGCGCGGACACGCACAATTCCGTTGGCGTCAAATACTCATCGTAAACCCAGGTTCGCTGCATCAAATGCTGCGAACCCACTGGCCTGCCATCACAGCCTGCGTGCCTTGCAGCAATCCGGGGAGATTTTCCAAAGCATCGACAATAAGCAACAAATGCTGAGGCCCGAACCACCGTTAGGAATCTGTTTAACGGTGTGAAGAAGACGAGTTGACTACTTCGTGAACCAGATTGCTACTCTAATTTTGATCACAGACATGCGCGGTCAGTAGAACGGAGCTTGCAAGCTTCAGACGAACGGCCCTGGGGTCGAATCCCCTGGTAGAGGAGCATCGTTGCCAACCAAGCCAGAGTGTACCAGAACAAAAGTGTACATTTCAAAGAGAGGAGAGGAACACTGATCTTCTTTGTGTTGAAGATAGCGTGGCTATGCACTGAACAACCTTGTATGACTGACACGTTTGATAGATTATGTCTTCTTTCTCGTGACAAGAGCATACCTTGGACTTTGCGTTCGTAACCAACATGCAAACTTCGACTCAGGACAATAGACTTCTCCTTATCCTTACAATCCATTCGACTTTCTCGTCTGAGACTGAACCCACTGCCCACTTTCCATTCTTCTCAACACCTTCACAGATTTTGGCCAATGAACTAAGGTGGAGGACGAAACGCGGGAATAACCCACTGTACATACCAGCGACGTGGCGTCAGGAGCCAGCATCCCTTCCGTGGCTTTCACCGGAACAAGGGCGGTGCCATCACAGCCAGCGAGTCAAACAAACCAAAGAGGCAAAGCATGGCAGGTTTGTAACAAGCCAGGCGAACTCATGGAGCCATTCGTTCATAGGCCTAAATCGACGTAAAGCCAGGATTCAGCCACACAGCTCGCTTCGCAGAGCATAATAAACCCCTCCACTTCCAAAAACACGGAGCTTTGGTTTTAGCGTCCGAGCTAAGTCAAACTACGGAGTAGCATAAAGCAGTGCGGCGTACTCAAACAAGCAGCCGAAGTGTTCCCAACCGAATACCTACCAACAGAACGGGCTTGTAGCTCAAAGACGTGATTGCAAAGACGCCTCGACGCCCTCGATGGCGCGATGCAATCGACAAGAAGGGACGAAAAGTAGGAAACTCTCCGGCGTCCTACTAAAAGGAACCGGACTCCTACTGGGCGAACCCCAAGAATGTTTCGAGTATCCGTGCCAGAGTTTAGAAGGACACGAAGACAAAAGGGTTCCCGAATCTCACACGATCGGCCGCCTCTGAAGGCGGTTGGAAAGCCTGCATGGCATCAGTCACCTATACGAGGAAAGGCCTCTTGACCAAACGGCAAGAGGCAGCGCGGCTATCACGGCCGGAATACCTTCAGTTCACTGCCAAGTAGTGACCAAGTAGTGATTTCGGACGGGCAGAATTGAATGGAAGCGTTGCAATAATAAACACTGATCATTCGATAGTTTAAGCTTCAGACGCTCACTAGCAGCAACGCAAGACTACGGGGTGCAACTCAAATTCCATAACGGCATCGAACCTCCGTCCATGATTTGCAACCAGTACGCAAAAGTGAGAATGTCTATCCGGCCTTCAAGCCTGAACATAACCTTTCAACTTCCTGAAAGGATGGCGTCTTGGGATGCTGATTAAAATTGGCGTCAAACCCAGAAAGTGTAGCATCTTGCAACCACAGCCACCGTCTCGGACGTCATACTGGCACAGCGATTGTGGAGGGCTGAGCACACAACAAAACCGGCAAACCAATCGACCGGCTGAACACGCAAAGTTTCAGACTAAGTCGTCACTTGGCGCGCGAAACCAACGGAGAGACAAAGACGCATGAAGATTCATGGAAAAGCTAGTGCGTGGTATTCGAGGAAAGGGCAGTAGACTACGTGGCGACCACACCGTACCTGGAAGGAGTAGACGGTCGCCGGGTTGAAAGGCGGCTTGTCCGTCACCGTCCTGGCCCGGAACACCGGAACGAACTCGGAGAAGGGCAGTTGGACCTGCGGAGACGGACGCCCCGTTTTCAGCATTCGCTTGTCCTTTTCAGTATCCAACTTCCATCTGCCACAAAGCCCAAATTCTACCCGCAAGAGACGTTATATTTCGAACCTCGGACCATGCGGCAGCATGCTTATACATACTACACGAGACTATAGGCTCAGAGAAAAAGCTCCGATGAATCTCTGCGACTAAAGCCGGCAAAGTCCATACATTCCCAACCTTGAGCCCCAGCGCCCATGCAAAGAGCGGATCTCGTGTTGAAATACTTACGGTTTGCCACGTGTCAGCCTTTGTGTCGAAGCTCTTGGTGTAGCCGACGGTGTCCCAGCCCTCGTCCGTCCGGATGATGAACTTGAACCGTTTTCCTGTCCCCTGCGCATCACATCCGTAGCAACTTCAGTAAGGCACATAGTAAGTGAAAGCCTTCAAAAACAGGTCTTTTTAGATACATGTTACGCGTACGAATTGGGAAGCGCATGATAGGCGACCCTGAAGAGACGTGAGATTCGGAAACATACCGATGCGCAATTGGAAAACGAAGAAGTAAGATATAGTACAAGCTGAAAAACCGACCTGGCTTCGTGACTGGGTCTAGACAGACCTCAATCCAGGAACTACACAAAACTCCCAACCAATTTTGAGTCTCGCGTCGCCTCCAACGTGGTAATTTTCTGCGACCAATCAGCGTTTTCCTGACGACGTCAAATGCACATCCAGTTTTCAAGAAGAACGTGTGTGCTAACGTCAAAAGAAGAACGAGCAAGGATGTGATACAAACTAAAGGGACCCGACTTACTTTGAGCCGTATCGAAAGGCCTTCATATGACGTGAGGTCGAGCGGCGGTGTGAAATTCTGCACAACGAGACATGTGCCTCACAATTCAAATAGGCCCCCACGACAAAAGGTACTGACAGCAGCGGGGGTTTCGGAAAATGCTCTGCATGGTACAGCGAGATGCACAAGAAGGATCCGTAAGAGGCAAGTCCCTCAACAACCCAAGCACGCTTTGCGATCGGCCATCGGTCAGTGGGACTTTGCAGAAGACATAGCGAGCAGAGTGTCGAACCCATGTGGGCATTGAATGAATCACGATATTCACCAACGGAAGTCGCGACCATTTTGTGGAAAAGCTTAGACCTGGTATTCCTCACGCAGACTCTCGTGCATTGATAGCACGACTCAAGAGAGGTGAGCTTACCCGGGTTCTAATGCTTGCAAAGCCCCCTGAGTTCTTGGAAGAGACAAAACCTGCAGATCAGAGAACAGGATTCAGTGCTCTCGGCAACTGTGTTCCAACAACAATCAGCAAGCACCCCATGCCTACGCGGCCGCCTCTCTGTAGTTTGCACTTCGAGCGCAACGCAGTTGCAGCGAAACTTCATCAGGGGTGCCTCCAGCGAGAGCGAATCTGGTCAATCGACCGCTCTGAACCGCTGGCTCTGTTGACTTCAAATCATCTCGTTGTAAGTACCGGACATGAAATTCTTCAATGTATACATCCGGGGGGAATTCGGCAACGACAGTTGTTCGGGCAGGCTCGATGGAAGGCAAGAATGGCGACAGAATGATCACACGGAACTGACCGGTCGAAAAGTGCCGTGTCAACCTCCAGAACCCGTTCTTACGTTCCATTGCCATGATCAGGACCGTACTTTCTCTGATTGATTACGTAGCAAGTGGACTGACGCAAGCACTCAGCCGGCCATGAGAGTCACGAATGAATCCCAGGAAGCTGAAACGGATTTCGGAATAGAGCATCTATTGAAAAAGATAGCAAAGTTGGACAAGCAGTCAAAAGGCCGAGAGCCTGCAGTCGTCACCTCTGAAGACGCCGACTACACTGCCGTCCTCTCTGGCACTACGGTCGACTTGGAAGCCGCTTTCGCTGATCCCGCCCATCACGACGTCGTCCAGTGCGCCCCAAGCGGGACCGCTCGGTAAGCCGTTCTCTGGAGAGTTTACAGTGGTTGACAATACTTTGGCAACGACGTCCCATAGAGCTAGATGTTCAAGATAGACACTATTCGTTTGACAGCAGATGAACATGTACTGTCCAGATCTGCCCGGCCAGATAGGAACAGGGCGTTAAGAACCAGAAGGACCCTCTCAAGAAATAAACTTTGATGATGCCCCAGGCCGGGTCCTCTGGCAGGCCAGTCTCTAGGAGCAGATCATAAGAAAGATATACAAAAAGTACTAGACTTGAATCTGACGTGAAACTGTTATACATCCACGGAAGGAACTCTGAAACTGATGGAGGCTTTTTGAAAAGAGACATAAAATCACACAATCGCCAGAAACTTTGAACTAGAGTAAATACTGGCCGCACCGACTCTCAGTCAAGAAGCGCAGATATGACCAAGAGCGAAAGAGATTGTCTCTCCATGAACTCTTCAACAAGTTTCCGCGTTTTCGTCAAAACAGCGCACTTGTGCCAACGCTGCGCTGGAGTTCCTTCACAAGGTACGTAGCCAAGGTAAACAAAGCGCAGGCAATACGACAAGGCTCATACGTTCTTCTCCCTGAGTCGTGGCAAACGATGACGTAGTCAAAGCGGAGTCATAGCCGAGTAGTTCAACCGGTTTGAAAATTCTGGTTACTTTCGAGCAACACTCGGGGAACGTGTTCTACGAGATTCTGCATGGTCTGTACAACGGTTCTACCAGTAAGGATAGGGCTGAGACATAGGTTTGACACATGATCACAACGGGATAGATCATTGGCTGCTGCAAATCACAGATTCGACAAAGCATTGTCATGTCTGTCAAGCACGAAGAGTACAAAGGCGGTGCACCTTGGAAAGCGGTGGCACGGATGAAAGTATTAGATACGTACAGCACTTCCTATTACGAGAACTCTGTCAGGAGTGAAACTCGAACCTTAAACCTTTTCGGTCAGAAACAAAGAGCCCGGCAAACCTAAACCTCCTTTCGAACGCTCACCGATCTGAAGCAGGACTTTTCCATCCCGGTAGCCTAGATGCTCCTTGACCGCCTCCACCAAGTTCTGCACGCCCCGGAACTCCACGGCCTCGGGCGTGTTCTCTTTGATCTGAAACAAACCAGCACGGACGTCAACTTTCTAGTTCTACAAAATGAGATTGTGTCTCCTTCGATCCAACACAAACAAGTGAGAACGCCAGCCTCCGTCACTGAGCTCGAAATGAAGGAGTGCATAGAACCTTCCGGTTGCAACTGCTGCAAGGTCAGGCACCGCACCTGTATGGAATGACGGATTAAGAGGATTGAAAGAAGGCAAAGGAATGAAAAGAGAGTGTGCGATGGAGGGGGTTGATTCCGTGGAGCCGCAAGCCCTGCTTGAAGGACTTGATTCCCACGTAAACCCCTCCAACTTGGCGTTGGCGTGCTCCTTGCTGTTCATTGATCCAAATTCACGGTTTGAAAGTTGCTACTTGGAAACTTCAAGCCATTCCATACCAAGAGGTTCGAGAAAGCCGGATCAGGGCCTTGACAACCCACACTAATCTAGCCATCTTCGCCGACTCTTTGAAACATGTCTTACACCTTTGCAACTTGAGGCTATCCAATGATCTCAAAATCCGACCCGTTCATCTTTCGTTGGTCCAGCTTACAACCCGTTCATCGTATTGAGCCTTTATAGCAAAGCACATGCTGACTGTTCATGTTACGAACTCCACCAGAGGATGCTGCATGAGAAACAAAAAACATCCTCGACCTGGAATAAGGCAACGTAGCCTTTTCACTCCATTATCAGAACGCCCTTGAAAAGCCTACCTCCGGATCGTAGAATTTTATGCCCTGGTAGTACTTGGCCCGTTCCGTTGTGTCACCTTCCTTTGGGCCGACGATGACTGCAGACGCGTTGACGACCGCGGAAACGCCCTCAAAGTACTCGGGGAGGAGCGTTCGTGGCTGTGTTAGCTCCGCTGTTACCTGATAGAGGTACCAATCCGTCCCGTCAGCCGGTTTTAAAAGGTGAGAGGAGATTCCCGGAGGACGGAGCAAACGTGACTGTAGCAGCTGATCAATCAGGGAGAAGCTTGCTTCTCGTAATTTTCAGGATGAGTGAGGCTACTAAGCAGACTCGAATACTCAGCAACTTGCATGCCAAGATAGAAAATCCGGAAGAGGGATTCTGCTGTCTGACCAGAACAATTCGCTCTGGATGATGCCAGAGACAGTGCTCGAGTCTAGCCTCGAAGTCCAAGAGGGGACTCATAGAAGAAAGCGCAAGAGTGAGTACAACAGCTTACAATTTGCAGTCCCGGACTGGGCGGCCCCAGCAGCTTCTGCGCCTTTCCTTGATCCCGTACCTGCGATGCGACGAGAACAGACAGGAGCTGCACTTTGTCGTCAATGATGTTTGAGGGCAATAAGCACGGTTGCTAAGAAGCGCCATCCCTCAAGAATCAGACTCTTTGAAAGACCCAGTATAGTAGCCTTCTGTCCGACAAGAACCCCGTGATGGAGACGTAAGGAGACGGCTTGAATTCCACCAATGTCGTCTCAATCAATTGAAGGTAAACACTTCCTAACTCTCGTCTCAATCAGAAAGGCGCATCAATTTCCACACTGACAATTGTCCAAAAGCGACATGTTTGTCCAATACAACTATGAAGCTTTACAACGACATCAATTGTCACGTATCCTCAGTAATGAGAGGCAGAGGGCCATAGCCAATGGTATCCCCATTGTGCCCCTGACCAATCCTCACCGCTTGGCTAACAGTCAGGACTCAACTTCCCACAACAACTTGGGATGTCTTACCAAGGCCACAACTGGCACTCCGTTCTTCCTTAGCTCATCCACGATCCGTTTGCCCACCCCCCCAGTCGCCCCCACCACCAAGACCTTTCCCCTGCCCCCTCTAGAGCCGGCAGATTGTTGCTGGCTGGAACTGAAAACGGACCCCAGCGCTTCCATGAGCTTGGACGGGTTTGTGACTGTTGAGACCACCTGAACGCACAAGGGCGAAACCAATTGCATCTAACTCAGACAGCAAGGAAGTTAGCCAGGTTGTTCAAGCGGTTCTTACACTTAAGGATCCAAATTTTGTTATGGGATTGAAGTCGCAACTCCTGGTCTTGAAGTTGACCGGATCGCCATCGTAAAATGACGCAAGGTCTGAAATACTGCCAAACCGCCCAACATTGAGTGGAAGGAAAAAATCGCCTTAGCAAAAATCACATGAGGCACGGCATTGACCTGCTGATGCAGTCCGCCAACGAATACCTTATTCAGGAAACAGCATGCAGACGATGACATAAGAAGTGCACAGTTAAGCACCATGCAGAAAGAAACAGGCGCAACAATATGATTGAAGGGAATTACGTAGGGCCCCAGATATTCAGAGTATGCTCAACATAGATTAGTTTGAACACTGTGTTGGCCACCGTTCAATGCTGCCCTTCACCGGTACGTGCTACCACCCATGCAGGGTGGTGGCAACTTGAAACGCATCTTTGAACCACTGGAGCCGCTTGGCTGAAGTATGTTTAGAAACTCAACACATCCAAGAAAACGTCGTGCCATGCACCACTTTCATGGCACTCACCTCCTCTAATTTCGGCGGTTCGTTGAAGTATAGGACGGTCTTGAGAAACCGTGAGAAGTCCCAAGGCTCCCGGCTGCCCCCGTTGCTGCCAGCCGCTCTTACTGAAACTCTTCGCAGCTGAACTGTCGGGCCAGGCTGCAAGCTTTTCTTGTCAACTGGACGGGAATCCCAGCTTCTTCCAAGGAAAAAAGAGGGCCGCAAAGTCGATCCGCTTCCCGCACATGTGGGGGAAAGGGCCTGACTTCGCAATTGAGAGTGTGTTGGGCGAGGTGCTTTCAATGCTGATAAGGAGATGGTGTGAGAAGAAAGCTTGGAGATGCACGCAGCATTGGCAGCCATTGTGAGCTCCTTTGAGCTGTAGCAAGGGCGATTTCTACGATCTTAAACCACCTTAGATCTGCCACAGAACCGATTTCCTGGACATGTGACATCGTGTCTGTGAGTGTGAGTCTCGAGTCCTGAGTCCTGACCCTAGACGGTAGACCTGTGGAATTGGAGCCGAGACCAACCAACTAGATCCGGCCTAAACTTAATTCTCTCGGAACTCCAGTCTGTGTACAACATACGTACTCTGGGGGTCGATAGGTCTAGACACTGCAGCCGTAGATTACGTCCAATTGACGCCTGCCAGCCGTCCACGGCAACTTCTGTCGCCGACGCTTTTGCAATCACTGGGGCGCGCTGCAGTCCGGAAGACCAGGGGCCTCCACCGGGCATACACTGGTTTCGGAGCTCATAAAAACCGACAAGCTCTCGTCAGCCGGTTGCATCAATGCAGTCATTTTTCTTTTATAAAACGGGCTGAACCGAGGAGCGGGAGAGGGCGTCCCGGTTGGTTACTCGGTGAACGCCCATGAACGCCCGGGAGCTGCTGTCGGTGAGCGGAAGCTGCTAGAGCGGAAGCTGAGTCATCCCCCTCCGCCACGTCAATAGCCGCGTTACATTCCAGTGCGCCAAGCGCCCCACCCTGCAGGAGCTGTAACCAGAAAACCATCCAACGTAACGCACCTTATCCAACGCTCTGGTTTCTCTGCTCGACGTCTTGTGACTTGTATTCCTTGTCTTGTTTCAGATTGTGTTGGAGGCAGAGTGCTGCCAGGGCGCTCTGCTGATCAAGAGAGGGAAGCCTTCAGTGGGTTGACGCGTATGCTTAGGTGTATTCTGGCCGCATTCTGTGTATTAGCCGGATTTTGAAACTTTCCCTGTAGTTGACACAACAGAGACCTTTTTCGTGCTCGTTTGAAGTGCCCCTGTGCGCAACTGTCCCTTTGATTCTGGGGAAGAAAGATGGAAAGTGTGAGAGCTCACAGGAGAGCTGGCATCCTCGCCCAGCATTTCGTGCCAGACGAGACAACTGGCGCATCTTCTGTTGCAACGGCTCCGTGTTTGAGCTACCAATCGCCTGAGACAAATGAAGGTGAGTGGTTTTGCAGGGATGCTGAAATTGCTTCAGAGCACGTCAACAGTTTCTTGCTTTCTGTAGACCTTGAATTGTATAACGACTCCGCTCACTTTGAAGGACTTCTCTCTTAGGGTTTATCTATCTTCGGAATGTTTTCAAGTTGAGAAGGTGTCGTCGCATGTCCTTCCAGCTGGGCCGTAATTCGCAGGGCGCAAGCAGCAGGACTGCTGGTATCAGCACTTAATTGTTCAGACCCTAAATTGTGCGCTCAGCATTGATGAAGTTGCTGTCAGCAGCAATCTTCCTTTGCCCAAGCCTTACATGCAGGCTCCGGATTCGGAGCGGGTGTGTTTCTTTTGTTGATTTATCGCTAGCGCCAGAAGCACTGGACAGTGATGGCGCTGCCCTGATTGTTTGCAACCTCTGTTCTGTTGCAGGTGCCCCCTCCTTCAATGTTGCAGCGATGCGACAGATCATCGATGCTCATGATCTGGACATGCGTGACGTGATGTACTCCATCTTTGCCAACGACAAACCGTTCAGATCGAAGGATGCTCCGAAGGGGGTGCCCGTGTACACAGCTATGGACTATAATGCAACCAAAGAAGAACAGCGCGAGGTACATGAGATGAACGTTCGTTCTTCCTTCTAGGTGTCTGCACGCCCCCCGTTGCTTGAGCACTTAACGAACGACGCCTTTGTCTCAATCTCTTAGGAGGGTGCTGCTTACAAGGTAGTGAAGTAGATTGACCAGAGCATTAGCCGCGGTTTACCATTCCAGTACGGGCAAGTTGCAGCTTTGATTTTGTAGGTCACTCTGTAGACATTGCGGAAGTGGCATTGTCAGATCTTGTCTCATGTTGGTTGTGCAACTGATTTTCAAGTTGCATAATATCATGTTGATGTTGGTGCAGATTACATTTGAGAGAATTATGCACCTGAAGAACAAGGGCCTGTTCAAGAGCTGGCTGACATCTGATGATCCAAAGGAAGCGTACAAGAAGGCTGCTATGCATGAGGCTATCAGCATCTACGACCACTCCATGGCCATCAAGCTTGGTGTTCACGTGCATCTCTGGTGAGGATACTCATTCTGCAGTCGGTGACTTCTGGGATTTTAACCGCCTCTAACATGTCCGATTTATATCTCCAAGAAGCTGCCTTGCAAACACCTTCGACTTTCATCTGCCACGCATCTTAGAACCACAATTGAACTCAGGGCTTCTAACTGGGGTAGAAGCAAAAACTAGTGGTGAGGTCCAAAACGATTCAAGCATATGCTTTGCAGGGGTGGGGCAGTGAAGTATCTTGGAACCAAGCGGCACCACGACAAGTATCTTGCTGGGACTGAGGATTACCACTACTCTGGATGCTTCGCTTTGACCGAGCTTGGGCATGGGAGCAATGTAAGCATCGCTGTTTTTGATCTATTCACTCGTTCACAAATGCAACTTGAAGTTCTCCCGAATCCCCTGTACCTGTCCTTAATTGGATCTTGACCCTTGCACTTATTCCTATTGTTGATGAGGCTGTTTTGATTCTTTTGCATTTTTTTTTGCATGTTCTTTCAACAGTATCTCTCTGTTGTTTTCAGGTTCGCGGAATTGAGACGCTCGCCACATATGATGCCAATGCGCAAGAGTTTGTCATCAACACGCCGTGCGAGTCCGCACAGAAATACTGGATTGGAGGGGCCGCTCAGGCAAGTTTCTGCATCTGTGACGTTTCGGAGAGCAAGTCAGGGAGTCCGTCTTGGTCAATTATCTTACACCTGGTATCATTCGCAGTTGAAGTCCTGCCTCGCTAGGGGTAGATTCATCTCAATAGTCCCATAACCTGCTTCACTTGATTTGCTGGAGTTGTCAGGGGAAGCAAGCCATCAACAGGTTTTCACGGATGTGAAAGATCCCACTGCTCCCTTTTGCAGCATGCCAACCACACCTCCGCGTTTGCTCAGCTTATCATTGGTGGCGAAAACAAGGGAGTTCATGCATTTGTGGTGCCTCTGAGAGACCGCCAGGGAAAGCTGATGCCTGGTATCCGCATTCTGGATTGTGGACACAAGATGGGCCTGAATGGAGTCGACAACGGAAGGATCTGGTGAGGACCTCACAAGGAGGACTATTTGTGCCTTATTGTGCTTTTCAGCTTCTCGTCCTGAGCTTAAACAAACTTCGTAGCGCTGCTTGTCGAAAGATTTGGTGTCGCCCGCTTATGTTCGTTGCACGCTCATTGTAAAGGCCGAGTTTACATTTTACTGCACAGGGGTGTGCATGCTGTATTGACCCCTTGACGTGATTACAGGTTTGACAACGTTCGCATTCCAAGGGAAAACTTGCTGAATGCAGTTGCTGATGTAACTCCGGAGGGGAAGTATGTGAGCCCGATCAGTGATCCGGATCAGGTGAGGGCTGCACGATCTCGCCTGCCATTCTTGATCAGCTGACAGAGATTGCTCTCACGTGGCTCTTGTTCTGCAATAACACCTTGGAAACTGGCCCAGGGTCGCTCGAGTGTGCCGGGGCTCGATATTCCCGACAAATTCAACTCGAAACTTTGTGCTTATCATGATTGCCGGTTGTTCTTGCAAGAGCTTGGTCTCCTTGAATGACTACGTCCTTCGAGGAGGTTTGGTGTTAGTCTCTACCTGTCGGCTCCGTTTTTGTGACGCAGAATGTGGGATCAATTGAGTTTGTGGTATCCATGAATCAATCGTTTGTCGGTCATAAGACGAAGTCGTCTGGAATTGCCGACTTGCCGAAGCGCTGACTCGTCTTTCCTTTCATCTCATCAAATCTGATTGTTGGCCCTGCAGCGCTTTGCCGCATTCATGGCTCCTCTCACTGGTGGCCGCGTCACGCTCGCTATAAGTTCCGTCAACCAGAGCAAGGTACTAATTCTCTCGGTCAACATGTGTGAACGTATCCGACTTCGCGTCCGAATGCTCATTACAAGGGGCAGTTGCACGGCCAATTCTCATCTTCAATATGTCCTGCTTCTGCTTTCCCTCCGATGCGTTCCGAATTTCAAATTCTGAATTGGATTCTGGTTTCGACATTCCGTTCCCGTTAAAGCTGGACGTCCAACTGGTTGTCAGAGATTCTGTCCAATACCCGTGCATTCAACAAACATTATAAGGAGGAAGTGGGTCGCGCGGGCAGCTAACACCTCGGTATGCCGTACAGGTCGGCCTTGCCACCGCTCTCCGCTACGCCCTCTCCCGCCGGTGCTTCTCTCCCGCCGACGGCCAGCCCGAGCTGCGCATCCTAGACTACCCCAGCCACCAGAGACGGCTGCTGCCTTTGCTGGCCAAGACGTGAGTGCGCTTGACAAGCTTTTGGGCTTTCCTATCGACCTCCTTTATCTTTGGAGCGGCTGTGGAATGGGATATCTACGCACCTTCGATCACAAATGGCAAAGTTGATGCGAGTTGACAAGTGAAAGCCATCAGGGTCGGTTATTTCTTGTGCCGTCTACTTTCGTTCCTGACTGTTGTAAATTTTCTGTTGTCGAGTGCTATCATTTTCTGTCAGCTCATTCAATCTTCTTCGCAAAGCATTCTGAATGTGATCCCCTCGTTCGTGCAGGTACACGATGCAGTTCGCTGTGAACGAGCTCAAGACGCAGTACATCCACAGGAAGCCCTCTGATGCAAAGTTCATCCACGTTGTCTCCTCCGGATACAAGGCCCTCATGTCGTGGCACATGAGCCGGACACTGCAGGTGCGAGAGTGCCCTCTTCACCTCACCATCACTTGACAGTATCGATCTGGTAGCTTAGTGCCTGAGAATGAAGTTGGAACGACTTCGACTTCTATTCTTGAGTGAAATTTCCGGGCTTTGCTCACTACTTTCCCTAGCCCTAGTCATGCTGCTGATTGTGATTTAGCTCTTCCGTCCTCCGTTGCCATCCACTCTTTGAGTGTTGTGTGTTCCTCACGACGGTCTTTCAATCTTTTCAGTTCGGGCCATTCAATCCAGCTGGAACCTAACCGACGACAAGATGTCCGCCCTTGCAGGAGTGCCGAGAGGCTTGCGGTGGGCAAGGGTACAAGTCCGACAACCGGATTGGCCAGCTCAAGGGCGAGCATGACGTTACGTCCACCTTCGAGGGCGACAACCATGTTCTTCTGCAGCAGGTAATGCGCAGTAGTCGCCTAGCGGACTATGTTCCCGCACCTCATCCTCTTAAAAGTCTTTGCTTGTTTCACCGCTGCGGTCAGGTTGTGTTGCTTCGAGCGATGACTGGGTACGTGTTTGGCGTCAACGGTATATTTTCTTCGCACGCTCATAAACTTTCAACAGAATCGGACTAGACTTTCATGCATACTACTTTGAACGCCTTTCCAATTGCAGAACCTCCTCGTGGGTTGACCAGCAGCTTTCAAACTGGGTACCTGCTAGGAAAGCGTTATGCCCTCGTGCCAGAGCAGTGGGTGATCATATAGCCCTCTCCACGTGTTGCTTGCATCTAGGATTGTCCTGCTCGTAAATTCATTGGAGCTCGCTTTATTTCCTGACAGGTTAGCAAGGCTCTGCTTGGCGACCTCTTTGCTTCCAAGAAGAACGGCAAGCCGCTGCGGGGAATGGGGCTGGAGCACATCAACGGCCCGCGCCCTCAGCTTCCGAGCCAACTGACGGCTGAAATTGTTCGCAGTGCCGACTTCCAGGTGCGTCTCTCCCGGAAACATGCACTTGTATCGATCTTTTGCGGCTTCCGGTTCCCTGCTGCAGTTTTGCCGTGAAACCGCTGCTTTGCAATGAAACTTCTTGCTGATTCTTTCTTTGTCCCACATTCATGTGGCACTTGCTAAGGTATTGACGTAGAGAGGCTAGGATCCGTTTGAAACTCGGATGTCTGCGAACCCTTGTTTCTTTGCAGACTCGTTTCGCAAGTGTAGGACCTTTTTTGGCTGGATAAGATTCGAATACATGGTAGGCATGGTAACATACGAGTGCCTCCACTGCAGCTCACCCTGTTCCGCCTGCGCGAGTACGACCTGCTGATGCGCTTTGGCGCTGACATGGGGGCCTCGTTGAAGAAGGGCGTTCCCATGTTCGAGGCGTTCAACCAGACGTATCAGCTGGCCACTGAGCTGGGCAAGGCCCACGCCGAACGCGCCATCCTCGAGTCGGCGATCCGAAACGGACGCGAGCTCGCGTCCGGGTCTCTGCGGCCGGTTGTGGATCTGCTGCGGTCGCTGTCCGCGCTGGCGATCGTCGACGAAGATGCCGTCTTTCTCAGGTGAGTGTTTGTCGCATGAGGTTTTCATGCGCGACGAGTGGGCAATTCCAGCCTCGATAAGCACGGCTGCTTGTGTTAAAGGAAAGCCTAGGTTTTAGCGGTTGTATGGTGCATGATTGTGAGGGGCAAATTGGTGCAAGTCATTCTTTGACTGACAAGGAGAAACAGCTTATGGAGAACGTTTGATGCAAGTGTCGCTACACCTATCGGCCATTTGCTTCACTGAGCTGTGGTGTGACGACCTATCATCTTCACAAGCATCGAGCCATCAAATTATTGCATTGCAGATACGGCTACCTGACCCCGGAGCAGTCTCAAGTCATCCACAAAGAGGTTGCCGCTCTTTGTGGCGATGTGCGCCCGCATACGCTTGGACTTGTGCAATCGTTTGGAATTCCGCAGCACCTGCTCGGCCCCATCGCATTTGACTGGATCCAGTACAACGCTTATCAGGGACCTGGTAAAGAGTCGGCAGTTGAGCAAGCACAGGCAGTTTTTGAGGCCGCTTTGCTGTAATTGTAAAGGTCACGTGCAAGTTTACGCCAATATAGATTCTGCCAAAACTCGACAGAGGTTTTGGAGCTTGCAAGCAGGTATAAAAGCCACGTGATGTACATTGACTATTTCTATTGTAGCAGGAGCCCAGTTTAGGAACCTTCTTCGGATAAGATAATTTCAAGTAGATACCATATAAAGGATCAGATATAAGCAATCACACATTCACACATTCACACATTCACACACCTTTGGGCCTGGGGCACCCCTTACAACTTATGGGGTTAGCTCGCGCATCGGCGGGGGGCCCGGCCATGTTGCATGCACATCTAATTGTGCCACTGATTGAAAGTTCAAGTTCTGGCCAGACTGATCTGGTCTCACGGGATTTACAAGGTTCAATGTTTCTCTTTCAATCCAAAAGCCCGTCAGCCACATGGGCTATAAAGCATTGAATCCAACAAACGTACAATGTGAAATTTGGCGAGTGATCCTACACCAGAGCCGCGATGACCGTGGAGGACCGTCGCGCGATGTCCGGCAGCCCCGGGATATATAGATGGTCTCGTTTCGTACTCGCCGTAGCCAAATAGGCCAGATCATTAAGCCTTATGCATGCATTTGAAGGCTTCTCATGGCACACATATGTGCGAAGATACTGTGTGCGAAGTGACATTGCTCAAAGAGGGCCCATCAGATTTTCAAAGCGCACTGAGTGTAGTGGCATCTGAGTCCTGAGGGAAAGCCATATCGGACGGACCACATTGCATCTTGAAATTTCGCCTCAGCGACCAGATTGCCCAAATTTTCGCCGTATCATGTCGCCGAGCTAGGCGTTCCGGGTCCCCTAATGATGCAAATGCAATGATACATGTACGTCTAACGTGCGGCCTGCATGCCGCAGCCGCGGCGGGCCGGGCGCGCTAAGTTTTTGGAGTTGCGGCGCGGCACGGGCCGCGCATACACAGAGGTAATAATATGCCATCGCGTTGGACCGTCCTAGCTGAGCTCGTGCTCAGCGGCGTGCTCGCCTTGGTTGCAATTGGAGTCTGGACCTGGACCCTGTTCGTCACTGTGAGCTGGCCAATGATTGCTCGTGTGTTCCCTTGCTGTCTTGCCCAACAATGCCCATTCTGCAGTTGCCAGTTGGCTCTGGACGGCTAGCCAGCTGCTATCTACCGTAGTTCCTGGCTGTTCATTGTACGTCAAGTTCAGCCTTCCTTCCTGTTCAGGCTCATCAGCATCCTCAGGAAGAAGTCGATTTGGCGTTCTTTGAGTGAGATGATTCTTTGATAGCTCCAAGCACTCCCAAGAGACACCACGGTTTGGAGGGCCGAATACCATCCACTGTGCTCCGGAAGGGGGCCTGCGCTTTAGGGCCCCCGCTGCCCGCATTTTTCACCACTGTGGTTGATCTGGCTTCTGTCGAACGTCTAGCTGATTAAGTTTCAAGAAGAAGCACCTCATCTCACTGCCTCTGGTCATGTTTTTAAGAGATCAGTGCTGGGATGGCTCCCCAGTGGTCCTCTGGCTGCCCTGTGGTAGACCGCTTTGTGCGCCGGTCCCAGTCCATTCAATGCCTCTTCGATGCTGAAACCTGCAAGGTGCGGGTGCCGTCTAGGGGCCTGGTCAGAGCTGTTGGGGCACCAAATGAGGCAGCTCTCTGTGAGGTAAGAATCTGCATTTACAAATTACAGCTCCTTGAACCTTCATGTCGGAATATTTGTTGGACCATCTGGGCACATGTTCAAATTGCTTGTAGCTCTAAGTGACGTTAAAGGCCATGGCAGCTCATAGCCTGTGGCTAGAAGGTGAATGTAGAGTTTTCACTCTAGAACCGAACCGTGTCATTGTCAGTTCACTGAAGTGCAATTACTTGGATGTCACTTTTGTCAATGACCACCTTCTGATTAGAAGCAGGCTTGGGGTCAAAAGAATGCCTATTCCTGACGGTTTCTTGCATTTGATCGCCGACTTCTAGCGTTCATTGACCTTCTGATCGCAAATGTTTTTGGCGCACATCTTGAGTATGCGAACAGACGTATACCTCAATTGGTTGACTCAACAAACTAGGCTTGCATTCTGGTGCAGGTTCCAGTTTCTGATTTCCTAAAATCCTTCCCCAAGCACCTGCTTAAGCAGCTAGAGTCAGGCCAGGTCCCGCTCGCTTCCTTCTCGTCTTACCTGAGGAGATGGCCCCAGGTAGCGCCTTTTGAGCAAAGCAAACACTACTCCATTCCAGATGGGGCGGCAGTGTCTCAGCCTGAACCAATTATCAAACCCTCAGCTGAGCGTAGCTGCAATAGCGAAGGCACTATTGGCTGTGCCACCCTTCCCCCTCAAAGTCCAGGGGTAGAAACGGCCAAAAGTCCAGTGGTAGGAACATCGGGACACCAGCCGGAGGTTTCGGAAGCAGTTCATTTGAGCAGCGGGTTGGATGATGTCAGCAGCAGGCTTAGCACCGTCAGCCTTGATGCCAGCACCGCCAGGGGCGATCAAGCACCAAACGGCGGAAGCGAGAAGGCTTTTTTGGGGGTAGATTTAGAAAGGGGACTAGAGGGGGCCTCTGGACCGTTGCCAGGGCCCTTGTTAGTTCAAGTGGAGCTACAGCTTCTAGACCTAGGCGACGATGAGTTATCAGTCAACGACAGGGCAAGGGTCGGAAACAGAGTTGATTTGGAGAGAGGTTCCACCGACGGGGGCGTGTGTCCAAGGGATGATGGCTTGGGGGGATTGCGAAACGGTTCGCCGGCGGAGGCAACTAGGCGCGGGTCCGTCGCTCTGGCGACGTTCTGCCTGTTGCCAGAGCCAGCGGACCTTACGGAGCGCCTTGAAAAGGCAGAGAGGAAGTTTCAGCAGGCGCTCGACTTGGTGCCGGAGGCGATCTATGCGAAAGACTCGGAGGTGAGGGCGTGTAGGCTTTCGGGGTTTTCCTGTTCTGGGGCCTTGGGGGGTTGACAATCTTAGAGCCAGCGTTCAGCGATTGCTTAACCCCGTCTTGGGAAGGAATGATTGCGTCGATGCTGTGTAGCTCGTTTCAGCCGTTTTAAGTTGCTTGCATTTCAAAGATGAGTCTGCAGAAGAAAGTATTACAGACTGATACTCTGTAGGTGAACATCTTCAACGAACGTAGCTCAGTGTGGGAGTCAGAGAGGGGCAGAGTCCAGCTCTGGTTGTGTTATGCAAGTTCCGTGGTTCGAGGCAGTCTGCACGGTCTGTTATTCGTCTTATGTCACTGGCGAAGGTCGAGACTTGCCCTAGCTCTGCTTCTGTCTAGACAAAACTGAGAATGTCAGAGATTCTTGGAGCCGCTCCTAATAGAGGATCGCCTCTAGTATTGGTCAGCTGATTCAAGCTCAAGCTTTGAGTGTGTTGGAAGTGCTGTGCTGGTTTGTAGCTCAAGATTCGAGGACAGCTCTTGGTGTACTTTCCTGGGCTACAGTGCTACTCCTTTGAAACTGGTACTCTCTTTAAAAGAATTTCGCACACCCCAATCTATGGGTACGGTTCAAGATGCAGCTACAGGGAACGTCTATGTTCATTTTTTCGTCAAAACTAAGGCTTCTGATAAGGCGTCGACCTATTCCGCCCAAACCAAATAACGTCACAAGAATCAAGGGGGTCTCATCAGTCCTGGTTACTCTTTGATGCCTTATACTCACAGATTCTTTCTCAGCATAAGTTTCTCCTTCCACAGGGCCGCTCCCTCTATGTAAATAAGGCCCTCGCCGGCCTTTTTGGCAAGACGGTCCCCGAGATGAATCTCCACTGGAGCTGCCCCGAAAAGGGCAGGCATCTGGCGACCAACGCGGAGGCGATTGAAAACAATCGCACACTGCTGTTTCCGGAGCAGGAATTCACCGACAGCGAGGGGCGCAAGCGTTGCTTCCGGGTCATGAAAACGCCGTTTCGGACTGCGGACACCGACGAGCCGGTGAGTCGGGCGTCCGGAACGTGCCGTTGTGCATCACATATTTGGTAATGTTGTCAAAGTTATGCAAAACCGCACAGCACCCTGCTAATCTCAGGGGAACGACTCTCCTCGGATTGTGGCTCTTCTATTTCAACTCTGAAACTGAAAGCAGAAGCTGAAAGCAAACACGGCCTTGAAGGATGTGGCTTCGGCACTGTTCCTCAGAGTGGCCTGGTTTGTCTACAGGTTTCGCGCAATGCACCTAGCGTCCCGCCGCTTTGAGGGAACTTGTGCTGGCGCAAAGCCTCCGAGTTCTGCGCCTGCAACCGCCTTTCAAGCTCGTATTCTACTATTTACCCTGAGGAGATCCTTGGTACCACTGCACGTTGAGAGTAATCGATATCCCCATGCAGCTTTTCGTCCTTCTGCTGACGTCACTCTGTCTTTCCAGGCTGTGGTCGGCTTACCGCTCAACAACACCGAGCTCTGCGCCTCCAACGGCCTCCCAAGCTCGCATTCTGCTTTTCGAAAGCCTACTCGTATTTTACAATGCCTGAGGAGATCCTTGGTGTCACTGCACGTCAGGAGTGAATGGTGTCCCCAGCTTTTCGTCCTTCCGCCGACGTCACTCTGTCTTTCCAGGCCGTGTTCGGGCTCTTGCTTAAAATCACCGAGCTCCGCGCCTCCAACCCCCTTCGAACTCGTTTTTTGCTTTCTACACTCTACTCAAATCAACACTCCCTGAGGACATTGTTGGTCAGGAGTAAATGGTGTCCCCAGCTTCTCGTCCTTCTGCTGACGTCACTCCGTCTTTCCAGGCCGTGTTCGGCTTCTCGCTCGACATCACCGAGCTCCGCGCCTCCAACCCCCTTCGAAGCTCGTTTTCTGCAATCTACGCTCTACTCAAATCCACACGCACTGAAGAGATCTTGATCAAAGAGTGAATTGTGTCTCCAGCTTCTCGTCGCTCTGCTGACGTCACTCTGTTTTCCCAGGCCGTGTTCGGCTTCTCACCGAGCTCCGCGCCTCCAACCGCGCGCTCCGCCGCAGCGAGGCCCGCTACAGCTCGTTCTTCGACCTGGCGGGCGTCGGCACCCTCACCATCGGCACGTCAGCCGCCCACGTCATCGCTGACGTCAGCAAGGGCGCGTGCGACATGCTGGGCGCCTCTCCCGACGAGCTCGTCGGGGCGCGCTTCCCCGATCTAGTTGCCGCGGAGGACTGGGCGGCCGTTTCCCCTGAGCTGGACAGCTTTTTGGCGGCCGGCGGGGAGCGGTTCGTGCGGGAGGTGCGGTGTGTGAAGAAGGACGGGAACGAGCTGTGGGCGCGCATCACGGTGACCCTGGGAGGGGAAGATTTGGAGGGGTGAGTACTTGTCGAGCTGTTTCGAAGAGTTTGCGCGGTTTCTGGTTTGGTCTTGTCTTGTGATGGTGCGGTCCTTTGTTCAAAACAACTGACTTGCTGGCGGTTGGGACTTGAATGTCTCGCAATGCACAACTTCTCTATTTGAGTTACGGTTCGCTCAACATAAGGGCTGCGATCCTGGTTTTGTTGTGTGCGGGTTTTGTGTCAGGAACTCTGTTTGAACCGCGTGCGTCTACCAGTGCGGTCTGAGAACTGTTTACCTATCGTGTTCTCTCATTTGCCAGGCGATTGACTATGAGGGGTGTCGAGTCCTGTGTCTCAAATGCTCATAAGCAAGTCCAAATGCGGCGTGATCGTCGTAGGATTACTACCAATCTGGGCAGTACTCTCGCAAGGAAGGCAAACACTTGAATCAAATGTACCGTTCTTGAGAGTTTCGTCAAGTAAGGTCGAGGCAGATTTTCATTGCTCAGCGTCAGGGACTCTCATTCTGACACGTCGGCCATTGCAGACCATAGCTCTCTTACCCAAAGCCGTTGACATAGACCTCTTCCGCTAACTCCGCAGGTACGCAATCGTAATGATGGAAGACATCGGCGAGTCCAAGCGCTATCAGCAGCTCCTACAACAGGAAGTAACTCGCTTCCAGGGAATCGTCGAGCACATGTCCGTGGGGGCGACGTTCTGCGAGAAAGGAGACGGGCCGATCCGCGTGTACTGCAATCGCGCAGTTGAAGAGATGCTGGGTTACTCACGGGAAGAGCTGTCTACGCTGCAAGCTTGGTTGGAGATCATTTGGGGCAAGGAGGAGGCGCCAAAGCACTATGAGGAGTACGTAGAAGGGCGGAAGAAGGTGAGGCAAAAGTCCGTAGAGCAAACTAGAGAAGCACCTGGGCTTGAAGTCGAATGGATGTGTCCTTCATGAAACAATTCCTCCGACCATAAGATCGCATTCCTTGCTAATTGAGCGATTTTCGGTGGTCGCTGGATGAGCAATGCACGTCAAATTACCTCCTCAGGAAGATTCGACGGTCAGCTTCTCTCACGTTCCCGGCCTGCCTTTCCGGTAGCCGTGTTTGTGCAAACCTCGAGACTATCCCGTTCGCACAATGCGAGGCTTACAGCTCCAATTAGTGAATCCTGGAGTATACTGGTACTCTGTACCATTCGACGATTCACAGTGGTCCAGGAGCGTGTGATCATAGGGCAGACAGGAGTGGTGCAAGTTGGGCGGCCTCTAGTTGTCTGAGTTAAGGGCGACGCTTGTCTTGCTTTAGCACAGGAGACAGACTGGCCCTTACGAGCGCACTAGTCCAGCCGTCAAAGACGATAGCTTGCATACTAGGTTTTGGAAGGTTGTAGGGTCTTTGTAGACCTGAAAAGCCCCAGAACTCTGACACTCCCCGTAGAGTTCGAACATAAAAAACAGATTGCGTCACTATAAGACTTTTATTAATTGATTCCAGGGCACGCTGATGAGCCCGTCTGCGACGCGCCTGCGCACGATCCGCCGGAAGGACGGCGTGGTCCGCCTCTTCGAGTGCATCGGCTCCTCCTTCCCGGAGGGCGAGGTTTGGATCATCCATGACGTCACCGACCGTCAGGCGGCCGTTGAGAAGCTGGAAGCGATCTTTGAGCTTTCCACCGACCCCATATTCGTGTTCATGCGGGGCACGATCCTCGACTGCAACACGGCGGCGGTGAAATGCCTGGGGTGCGAAACGAAGGAAGAGGTGCTTGGGAACTTCGGCCGGTTCTCGCCGGAGTTTCAGCCGGACGGGGAGCGCTCCAACGACAAGGCGCTGCGCATGTGCGACATCGCGAAGCGGCAGGGGGGCTGTTCCTTCGAGTGGCAGCACTGTAAACTCGACGGGACGAAGTTCCCGACGCAGATCTTCTTCACGGAGCCCAAAGTGCTCGGGGGGGCGGAGCACATGATTGCGATCTTTCACGATCCGACGGAGCGGAAGGCTGCGGAGGCGGCGCTCACAGCGGCGAAAGAAGCGGCGGAGGCGGCCAATCACGCCAAGTCGCAGTTCCTGTCGAATTGCAGTCACGAGATCCGGACGCCGATGAATGGTGTGATCGGGGTTGCAGAGCTGCTCCTTCGGACGGAGCTTTCCCCCGAGCAGAAGTCGTACGTGGAGACGATTCGCTCGAGCGGCGACTTCCTGCTAAACTTGATCAACGACATCCTAGATCTAGCCAAGATCGAAGCCAAGAACTTGCAACTAGAGGAGGTGGAATTCGGACTGTGGGCGGAGGTCCAGCAGAGCCTGGCGCTTGTGGAAATAAGCGCCCGGGAAAGGGGCATAGCCACCCGGTGTCATATCGAAGGGGGGGTCCCAGATGCCGTTGTCGGAGACCCTATGCGGTTGCGGCAAATACTGATGAACCTCCTCAGTAACGCAATCAAGTTCACCCACGAGGGTTCGGTGGAGGTGTTTGTGAGTATGGCGCAAGAACTAAGGGGAGAAGGGAGTTCAGAGGGATCCCCCGACGAGGAGGTTGAGTTGCCGTATTTACACCCGGGCATGCCGAGCGTTTTGGTGCAAGTCGAGGTGCGGGACACCGGGGTGGGAATACCCGAAGACGCAAAGGCGCGCATTTTCAAGGCGTTCATGCAGGCGGACAGCTCGACGTCTCGAAGATACGGTGAGCGGCTCTCAGCTTTAGGAAGAGGGCGAAGAAATGGAATACAAAGAAGACCCTCAGATGTTGACCTTGACAAAGGGAATATGCACGGGACATGGTTGTTAGCCAACTAGTCTCTCGTCAGGTGGAGAGATGAATGTTTAGCGAACCGAGTCGAACATAAGTCGGACTATTACGAGCCAGAAAAGGCGGGGAACAGCTGGTTCAGAGTAGCTAAGCGATGATGACGCTCCAGTGTACGTATGTTGCAGAGCATAAAAGCGCTGCTTCAGGAGCGGGAGTGCGTGCAAGGATCAACTTGCCGACCTTTTTTTCAAGTAGAAACGGCCTTGCCAAAGACGGCTCCTTTCCCGTGCGGTTCTTTCCTGAGCAAATCTACCAAAATTAATTGAAGACACGCCAAACTTGCACCGGATTTAACGTGGTCGATTCAAAGCTGGACAAGCCTCTCTGTTCGAACCTTCGGAAACCCACCGACAGAGAAGTTCCGGGAAGAGCTGAGCGGAATGCATCCGAAAGCGTTCTTATTTGCGTCGCTCGCTCTCGCAGGCGGCACCGGCCTGGGCCTTTCCATCTGTCAAACTTTGGCCACCCGCATGGGGGGGCGCATCTGGGTCGATAGCGTTGTTGACCGGGGGTCCTCGTTCTTCTTCACTGTGCGCCTAGGGGTGCCGCCCGAGCGCTCGCCATCCGACCAGGTAAGGGAGCCGACGGAAAGCGACGAGAGCCAACGGAACGGAATCAGAGCCAACGGAGTTTGATTTGTATCTGTGAAATAATGGAGCCCAAGATCTCGTGTAGGACAAAGAAGACATAATGCTCTCGAAGGGGTTGTAATTAAGATACAAAAACTGGGCAGGAAGCCACATCAAATGTTAGTCAATTTGACAGGTTGGCCACGACAAGGGCACAGTCTTTTTGGCAGGTCACGGCTAACGAGGGGTTTTGGTCAGGCGTCAGAATGGCGGGCAACTATGGCGTTGCCTTGTAGATTTCTGAGTCGTTTGCCGCAAGACAGGCAGTCTGCTTCGAGACGTGTACTGTTCGAGCCTCTGAGCGATTACAACGTTTGAACCAGATTGCATAGCATCCACCTCTTCAGGTGTGCTTGCTTTCGTACAGCGCGGTTGCTATTCATAAAACCAAACGCCAGACGTTTCCTCCGCTTGTGTCAATCTACTCTGTTGCTCGCATACTTTAAGCTCACCACTCCCACAACTTGGATATGCCAACCTGACCGAGGTCACCGGCACCTTATGCCGAGACGGGGAAGCTTGTCGGCAAACTGATCGCTAGGGTCCCAGATCTTTTCTCTCTGAAAACTGAACCCCTAAAATACAAATTCTTGTTCCTGTCAGCTTCGACCGAGGGGAGGTGCTCGGCCTCAGAAGCGGCGATGGTCCCCCTCCCCACGGTCCCTTCTGGACATCAAAGCGGATGCGCCGATCCTGGAAGCAACCGCAATCGACGAACTTAAGGTGTTGGTAGCAGAGGTGAGGGCAGCTTTGGGAAATAAGAGTATCAGCCCTGATTCCGGAATTTTGCGATTCCGGACGGGTAAAGCGACAACCTTATTCCGAACATAATAGATTCAGTCGGTAACTTGACACACGTTGTCCGGAATAGCGTTCGAAGCATCCGGAATTGGAGATGGTGAATGTCCCAGCATGCTCGGTAGACTGCTTTATTAGGTCCGTATTAAGATTTTTGCTTTACCCGTCCGGAATCGCAAAATTCCGGAGTTAGAGCCGATACTCTTATTTTGCTGGGTTTATGTTTTAGGGGTCTAGGATTCAAGGGCTTCAGGTTTCTTATTGTGCTAGGGCTTGTTGGGTTGTCTAGGGCTTGTTGGGTTGTCAAGGCTTTGGCTTTTTGGCTTTTTGGCTTTTTGTGCCCCGGCTGCTCAAGATCAGAGCTTCTGAGTTGGATTAGCGGTTGAAAAGAAAGCCGTGTCCGCGATATCTGCAGCTAAGTCAAAGTTTGCGGACCTTGCCTCTTTGAAAGAGCGAGAAGCTGCATCGACTTTTTGCAGCTTTCCAGTGTTTGTCATCGACAATAATGCAAGAAAGAGAGCGCTTAGGGAACCAATCAACGGGTTCACATGTTGTCTTGGCGCAGAGCAACGTAGGATTTCTCGAAAGCGAAGTCGAAAAAGATCAAAGAAGGCACTTAATCTGGTTGCTACTCCGCCGCAGGACAATAAGGTGAACCAGCTGGTCGCCTCGAAGATCCTCCAATCGCTAGGGTGCGATTTCGACGTCGTCGAAAACGGGGAGAAGGCGGTCGAAGCATGCGTCGACGGCCGCTATGACGTCATCTTCATGGACTGCCACATGCCTCACATGGTGAGAATGATTCGGCGAGAGTGACGTCACCCCGTATGCCTGCCAAGTGGCGAGTCTGCCGTCATCCGCGGATGATGACACGTAACAAATCTGACAGTATGCACGGCACGCTGCAGGAGCGAGCAGATGGTTTTCTTTGGAAACATTGTCTTGTCGGGCGAGAAGTGCCCCACGCACTAAGCATGATGTGATGCCACGAGCGAGGAATTTCCGCCGTTCGCTTTGTGGGCAATTGCAGCAGCTGTTGCGGAGGCGTTGTTGCCAAAACGTCTGACCTCCGGGGTTCTGAATTGTTCTATAATGTCACTTCGGGGTCTCGCGCTGTGGATTTGTGGATGACGAGGTCCTGAGCGCGGGGTTTGGGAAGAAGCAGACAGAGCAGACGCAGAAGTGGCACTCTTGAATGTTACAAATGAGTACTGTGGTGCTTGCAACGCTTGAGATAGCGATCCAGTCGTCATCACTCCGTTCCATTCGTCTGCCTTTCATCAAAATATCATCGATGTCAAAGATTACGGACAGAAAAAGCAACTCACATTAACTTTTTGAATTATTGAGATTCAGAAGAGAACGCATTCTGTCGTCTCGACTTTCCAGGACGGCTACGAAGCCACGCGGAGCATCCGCGTGGAAGAGCAGAAGCGCGGCCGGCGCCACGTCATCATCGCCCTGACCGCGTCGGCGCTCGAGGACGACGCCCAGAAGTGCCTTGCCTCAGGTGCGCTTATAACGCTGGGTTCCAGCGATACCTCAAATGCCTTCGAAACGATAATTCAAGGTTCTTGGCATGTTTGTACTCTCGGCATCTTCCGCTTCTCGCCTTTCCGCTTTTCCTGGTTGGAGATCCCACTTCCCCAAAATGCATCAAGAACGCAAAGGCTGAATGTCTAGTTATCTGGTCTGGAAATCTACTACAGCTTCGCATCTCGGATCCACAGGAACGCATAAAAGTTTTAATTGCAGCGAGTGTCATGCCCCTGTAAGTTGTGAGTGTTGATCAGGGTACTGGAATGTGTTTCTTACGTTGGGGAATGGTACTAGAGTACGTTCGAACCATTGTTTCCGTCGTCTGCATGACGAGGCAGTGAAAGACAGGTTGTTTTCATACTGACAAAGCGCCTTCCAAGTTGTTCTTAACTATGCATTTCGTTGGCAGGCATGGACTCTTTCCTGTCAAAGCCGGTCCGGCCTCAAGACATCGAGACGGCCCTTCAATCCTTCTTGCGGCCCTGATTTGGTTGCGAGCTTTGAACTTCTTACACTTTGCCATAGATTGACTTATACGCCGGGCCGGGCCTAAGATGCCAAGCGGGCATCCCTAGGACAAACCTGGCTTTTGCCTCTTGCATCGTCAAAGCAACCCATAGAGTAGGCACTTAAATGCGCCAATCTGTCTTGGCGGAGTCACTGTGTGTTGGCTTAAAAGCCACTTTTGCTCTAAACGTCGAGTCCCATGATGCATTCGAGCTAGTGTAGTATGTTACAATTCAATCAGGTAGAGGACGAGATCAGTCGAGGCTCGTCTGCAACCAGAAACAGGATTTTGTACACATCCGAACTTGTACAGATTGTTTTACGTACTAATCCTATACTGCATCAACTGTGAGTCCTCGATCATCATTTGCGCAGCGGATGTGAAAAGCATATGCTCCTACACAGCTGCACGCCGGCCGGCCGCCCCCTCATGCAACTTATAAGCTTTTGTACGGTTGACTAACTCACCAGCCACGTACGGTCGCGCATCATGTGTAAGGTTCATGAGCCTGTTGCTTCGACCGAATCGATCCAGCCCAGGCCCGCCAGTCAATCTATAAATCAATATTTGAAAAGGGTACGTAGATATATCTGGTTCAATATATATAGTATACCGGCATTGCAGCATCGAATGGCATATGCATGCACTGATCGAGTCGCTCCGAATGCACATACGTCAGTCACTGCGTTCAAGTAATATTATAGATTGGAGGTCTTCAGCGGCGGGCATGATCGACAACTTGAGCCCGACCGTACGCGGTTCAGGGGCCTATTATAACCTTCTGGAGTCATCCAGATCTTGCAACAATGCAGACATCACATCTCAGGCTGGCAAACAAAGATTGGTGCAGAAATAGCAACGCTACTTTCAAAACTGAAGTTTGTGCTACAACCGCGAGTCCAACTTATCATTCGATCAGCATGCCCGGATGTCAGCTCGATATATCAGCGTCTAGGTTGTCTTTTGCCCAGCAATACACTGAGGTTGCACAAAGTTTAGAGTCTAGGTCAGCTGCATGAGTGAGATTAAATGGTCAATCCAACTATTGTCGTACTATGTTAGTAAGCCTATCGTAAGACCTCAATCGTCTCCTTTGACTGATCTGGGCATCCTTTCGGTCCCCAAAAACTTAACCTCCCTAGGAGTCTATGTCTATGATCTTTGATCATGACGGTATGCTTGCTGTGTGCTGTTGCAATATGCTGTCAAGCTACCGTGCAAGAAAGGAGGCTGTATTCACGTCGCTATATCACACCTTAGCGGGCTGGGCCGCTGGAATCGTAACTAGATTAGGGTGCGTCACTTGGAGGGGCTTATTCCCATTGGCCTCCTTCATGCCCCGAACGAACTGTACAAACCGGCTGAAGTGGCGCTCCTCTAGGAGCTGGGGGGATAGCCGCAAAAATGTCAACGCGCTCATCAGCGGCACCACGTGCTTCACCTGGGGAGCACAACGGGCCACGTGTTAGCAGGTGAGTGGCTAGGGACCCACTAACTGACTCACCATCGAAACGTGGTAAAAGGTAAAGGTAGAAAAAGAAGCTCGATTCCAACTGTTGTGAATGGGACGTTTAGAGAGTGCGAAAAGAAGAACGATTGAAGAATTGACTAATCTAGTAGACGCACCAGGAGGTACAAGAACCCGTCGGGAGGACAAAATGGGCGATTATCTTGAAGGAAGAAGGACGAGGAGAGTAGAGGATGCAGGCTACCAAAAGCAGGCGGGAGACCCGAGTGCGGGAATTCAGCAACGACAGACGCCGTGTTTTAGAACCGCCCTAACTTTTGCGCCTGCCCTTCGTAGTCCAACTCGTCGAGCTCGTTATCGGTGCAGCAGGTGGTAATGAGGATCAAACCCTAGAATCCTGAAACTCTACAACCCTACAAACCTAAAACCCTAAAACCCTAAAATCCTAAAACTTTTCCAATGCCAACTGCTGCTCCGGCTAATGCGCTAGAATCCTATATCTCCAAAAAACGAGAACCCTAAAGTATTGGCGCCCTACCTTCCGCGCCTGCCCTTCTTCGTCCAACTCGTCGAGCTCGATCCCGGTGCAGCATGTCGTGTTTAGGATCTGCTCGTAGGCCTGGTCGTCTAGCCGGCTCAGCGCGTTTTCCCCCGCCATCGGCACGCCCTTCTGCGCGGCGCACACGCGCACCTGCCGACGAAGACCGAACGCTTTTGCTTTCCGGAGACCTTAAGGTGTTGCGTTCTCTGGAGGCACTTCGTGATCGAAAAGGTTTGCAAAGTCGTAGAAGGGAGACGGCAGCGTGGTTTGAGCAGAATCTTGAGATCTTGGCACCGAGAGAGAAGTCGGCGCAGCTTTTAATGCATCTGTATTCATAGAGTGCATCGGAAGGCCACTTGACCTTTGCAGTTTAACGAATTCTCCTGCAAGCGGCAATTGCATCACGAGAAGGGCACTTCATGCTGCTGTGTCTCGACGGAGTCCGGCTGCTACGATCACTATAATCACTGAAACGCAAAGCGTTTCCCTTCCAGCCTTTCCTTGTCCAAACACGCCTCGAGCGCAGCAACTGCGGCGGGGAGCAAAAACGCGGAGTCAAACAAGTTACTTCATAAGCCTTTCACCTGTTTCAGGAGCTCCTCCGGTCCGCACCGTGCAAACTCCGGCTGCTCGCAGTCTTTCATCTCAACGCACGTGAAGTTGAAGTCCGCGGAGTAGCGCTGGCACAGCTCAACGATGGGGGCGTAGCCGTTCCTGCGAATGAGAGAAGGACACAGGGCATGAGCGGCCGGCACTAGGATCCGAGTACAAAATGAGTGCCTTGTCTTTGATTTCCTCGTGATCAATTGTTAGAAATGCCGATCATTGAATTCAACCGAAGGTCCAAACGCTGAGCTGGAAACCAGCGGCCAACGGTTGGTCCAACTTCGAGGGAGAGCCTGTTTCACAAGTGGACTCTGACAATTGCCGTGCGTTCCAATTTTACAAGACACGACAACACCGATCATTTCTAGATCAAAAGGCCCTACCTGCTTCGCACAAACGTCGGGGCCCTTGCCAACCAAGACCGCGAAGCTCTCGGCTTTCCAGCTCGTAATCGTCACGCCTGATCGAGCTTTTCAGCCGGACTTCCAAACCGTCAAGCCATCCACCGAAGCACGGATAGTCATTGTTGATCTCTGCAGTTCGTACAAACTCCACATCACTTGCAATGAAACCCCTCACCTGTATCTCGTGTTGTAGTATCCCGCAATCAGTTCGGTAGATCGAGACCAAACCATCACTTGAAAAGTTTGCAAGTGTAAGAGAAGAGCCACAACGTGCTTTTATTGAAAACTCGGCAGATCTTCTTCACCTGTATTTCGTACTGCAATACCCCGCACTCAGCTCGGCAGATCGTAACCAAAACGGTCGTTGGGAAGATTTGCAACTTCAGAACCCACAACGTGCTGTTTTGTAAAACTCCCCAAATCTTCTCACCTGTATCTTGTGTTGTAGTACCCCGCCGTCAGCTCCGCCCCGTGGCTCCGGCTCTTGTACCACCAGTGAATTCCTGCGCACTTGAGGCTGACCTTTGCCTCCCCCTGCTTTTGTTTCCGCTTCGGGCCCTCGAACGATTCCGCTCCGTAGAACGCCTTGCATGCGGCGGCCATCACACGGTCGCCGTGCTTGATCAGAGATTGGGAGTACCACTGCAATTGGGAGTCCCAAAATCAGACGTTGTTTTCTGCTTGGGCGTCGCAGGAGTCTGCTCGGGAACCGCGGGTGCTTGATGAGAGACTGGGAGTATCAGTGCGAACGAGGGTTCGAGAGTTACGCTTATTCTTTTGAAAAGCGCAGTTTTGTTTCTTGTTCGCAAACTGGGAAAACCTCTGCCCATGAGGATCTCAAGACGAACAGCAGCTCTTTTTCCCTCGGGGCATGCTGCTTCCGTGAGTTTCTAGCAAGAACACCGGCCTGAACTTTACCAGACCGAAAGTTCCGAGACGCTTGCCGCGAAGTTTTTCAAAGACGCTTGTCCACGGTAGAGGGTTTTTGACATCCTTTTGTTTTAGCAGAGGATCCGTCCATTTTATGCAACTCTCGTCAAAGGCATGAGACCATGCAAACCCTGCCAAATCCCGAGTATGCCCCGCTTCCCTGCTTCTCCTGGGTTTCTTATCGGTGCACACTACCACGGTCTTCTCACCTCCAAAAAGAACCGCCCATACGGCGTGTCCCAGCTCCCCCCATTGTTGAAGAAGCCCGTCTCATGCGGCAGACTGTTGTACCCCCCCGCGTCGTGCGGGCCCCCCTTACCCCACTCCGGCTTCCCGATCGCGGCCGCGGCTTGCGCCAGGCTTTCGAGTGCGCGCTTGTCGTAGCACTGAAACTCGCCGACGCCCGGAAAACGCCACCGGCCGTCGCCCTCTGCGAAGAGAGGGTTCAGGATTTTAGGGTTTTCTCGAGTATTTTGCGTCAGGAAATGACAATTTTCAAGATGAGGGTGTGATTATCGCGGCCGCGGCTTGCGCCAGGCTCTCGAGGGCGCGCTTGTCGTAGCACTGGAACTCGCCGACTCCTGGGAAGCGCCATCTGCCAGCGCCCTCTGCGTAGAAAGGGTTTCAGCGTTTCAGTGTTGGAGATTCTAGATTGCTCTGGTCAAGCCATAGTAATCTGCGAGGCCGGCTTGCGCTATCCGCAAGTGCGCGCTGATCGTGGCACTACGATTCGCCGACCCATGAGACACGCCAGCGGTTATCGCCCTCTGCAAAAGGAACCATATGGTTCATTGTGATCTACAACGAAGAAGGCAGCAGATGCGGTGATGATTTGGAGTGCACGCTTGTCTTTGCGCTTCAGAAGCCCTAACGACCATCAACCGAGACGCGCAAGCAGAGAGGAACGAGAAGCAGAGACATAGAGAAGTTCGACGACTCCACTCTAGACGACGTCGTCCTTTGCAACTGCTATTCGAAAGGCTTTTCAGCAGAGAGACGTAACGCCTTTGACTTCATACTCATCAACAAAACGGCTAACACACGAGGCAGAGATGCAAAGCTGCACATCACCAGTTCCAATGGAGCCATTTTAAGGTGATAGACATTCCGTTGAGCAGCCTTTTGAAGGGACCTACAGTAGCTTCTGGTCCACTGAAACCGCTTGAACAACGGGGACAAAAGGCCACACACTGCACCAAAGTCACTCTCTTCCAAGAAAAATCCCTGCATCGGGGCTCAACGGAAACGCTTCGCTCCCTCTATTAAAGAGTCACTAATTTAGACTCTGAGAAAGCTCTCCGTTGATAAAGTCCGTACCTGGATAGGCAGGGTACCGTAGCTCCCCGCAGGGGCCCATTCCCACCGCCACCTCAGTCAGCACCGTCCCAAAATCTTCCCCCATCGCAGCGCGAAAGGCCGTCATATAATCCGAATAACATGCCAGGGGGGTGCGTCCGGCAAGCACCGGGTTCTCGTCCGAGAAGAGGCTGAGACACTCCTGGTTGCGATGGCCTTGCCGGTCGGTGTAAAAAATCTCGGGGTTGGCTTGACCGGCCTCCAGGACCCAGCGCGGGAGTGAGATGTTGACGTTGTCGCCGACGTTGCCGCCGCACGCGTGGAATGACATCACCGCCTGCGGGGTGACGTCAGCGGAACTTGTCAGGCACTGAGCTTTGAATGCTCCTGGCGCTTTGGCTTTGGCTTGAGCGTGTGAATAATGTTCAGAGGAATGGCTTTTCGCTTGAACTTCCGACCTAATCTTGTGAGCCAGAAGGGCGATGAGTACAGCCGCGCTGTCCCCTGTGTCTCATGTTGCCTGTGCAACTATCCCCTGATTCGATTGCGTACTCGTTAAGCCGGCGGGTCAATGTGGCCAATTCTTGCTGAACCCAAACAGGATTACAGAGTGCCAGGTATTGTAGTGCCGACTGCAAAGCTTCTCAGGCAATCAGCTCACAACAGCGACTCGATAATCTTCTTACCTGCATCTTAAGCCCCGCTTCCTTGCACATGTTCAGCAAGTGCTTGTATGCACCGAAATCGTACTGTCCCGGTCCGTTTCGCTCCGCTATGCCCCACCTGCAGAAAAGAAAAGCCTGCTCATGAGAAGCTGAAGCTCGCAGAAGGTACCTATTCGCGCATCTAAGGTGGCCTCAAAGCTCAAGACACAAAGTCTCGATACTTATTCCATTCCCAGACAGAAGCTGCATCGAAACGTGAGTGTTGTGTGAACGTGACTAAGCGCCCCCTACCAGTCCAGAAGTCGGCTTGTGGAAAACGGTGAAACTAACGGTTTACTGTGCGCGTCCAACATATTGCTAGACACTTCTTATAACGTCTTGAGTTGCTGAGCCAAGCTGAAAAGTGAGTCAGATACTCAGAAGTTATCAGGCAAAGGCATGACTCATATCAGGTCGAATCCAAGCTGGTGCAACCTAGTACTAATTGAGGAATAGAGAGGATTTTGACTGAGCGTCAGTCCTGACCCCTTCTTCTTATCGACGATGCTTAACCGGCTCAACTCAAAGCCCAAAACGAACCTCGACCCTCATCATTGACTCGAAATGACTTGCAAACTACTTTCTTTGGTCCCCAATCTAATGCTCATTAGCTCTATCTCTCATTGCAAACAACTCGAAAACGCAAGCAGAACAGCCGAAACGAACTTACGCATGAAGCTGAACACTCACCAGACGTCAATCATGACTCCCGTGCACCCCGCCTGCTTCAGCGCCCGGAACGCCATCTCCATCGCCCTCGGGTTATTCACAAACCCGTCGTTCCTAACCGTGTCCAGTGGCAACATCACATACACCGGGACATCCGTTTGGAGGGGCGCATTCACACCCGTGTCGTCCACTGTGACGTCAGTCTCTATGTACATCTGCTTCCGTAGAAGCGACTCAGCAAGCCCAACCTGCTCCCGTGATGAGTGGAACAGCGGGGGGGGCTCGATGAACACTGCGGTTTGCCCCCCGTTTGCGGCGGCAATTGCCGCCTCCGCCCTGTTCCGGATCTCCTCCGCAAACTTCTGCTCAAGGGAGAGCTGCGATGCGAGCTGGGGGGGGGAGATTTGGGAGTGATTGGCGCCCCCCCCAAGGAAAGCATTCTCAGGGATCTGGGAGGAGCCTTTTGCGGAACCGGGGGCCGGGGCGGATAAGACTGCAGCAGACGCCATAGCTCCGCGAGAAAGGGTGGAGCAACGCGAAAGGGTGGAGGAGCGCTTGAGGGAGCGGCGATTGTACCAGCTGAGGGAACGGTCTAGGCGGCCCCTGCAGAAGGGGTTGACAGTGTCAATGATGCTGCTAGGAGTGCTATCCTGATTCAAATGTGATCACTATAACCAGTAGATTCAACTGGGCAACGGTGCAAGTGCAGAGCTTCCTTGAGCTGCTTTTTATACCCCAATGTAGATGTGGGGAGCTACTCTTTCTTCATCTTTTCTGAAAGCAGAGTAGGCTTTTGAGACGGGAAACTTTCATAAGGCGTCTCTTGGGGGTGGGAAAACCAGCATGGGAGGTCAACTTTGAAGGGCATCTCTCCTGCCCCACTTTTATAGCCCCCATCTAGACCTACCTCAATCTCAGCATACTGCTGATTCATCAGAACTCTCTATCCTTGAAGGATTTGACAATTCAGAGCCCCTGATTCAGAAGGACACTCAAATCTAGATTAGGGTTAGGGTTAGGTCGCAGCTTTATAGCTATGCTCCATGGATTATATCGAATCACTGCATGAGGCTGTTGAATCTGACTTACCCGGTACGAATCTTGGGCAATGCAAATTCAGACGTTCCGAACACTTCCGACGATACCGCCCCCAGAGAGAGACTGCCCTGCGTTCCATCCCCAAACAACTGCCCCCTGACCTGCAGATACGGCTCGTCTCCGTCTTCTTGCGCTGCGTCAATCCTAGCAGACAGCTTAAAGTGCAGCGATTTTGAGAACTGCCTGCTCAGCGATCTCTGGATCCCCGTCAATTGCAGCCGCTTTGAGATGGGAATCACTTTTGACCTGGAGAAGACCCCCCCATTCTTGCGGAACTTGGGGCTTCCATACGCAGCCCTAAAACCTCTAGGACTCCCCATGCAATTGCGAGGGGTTGCGCCCCTTCTGCGCCCTTTCCTCGGAGTTGCCCCCCTAGCAGTTGGCCCCTTTCTCAGGGCCGCTAGAGAGGATGCTGACGCTACGGAATGGATCTCGGCTATCAAAGACATCTCGCTCGGCAGATGATCTCGTGTGGTCAATGGCCGCCGTGATTGGATAAGTCATGACGCTGATCCATGCAAGGGGATCAGTCACTTTCGCTCCCGCTGATCACTTTTCTGTTTGAAAGTGCCCTGCTTCGATGCTAACTCAAAAGCGTGCCAGTGCTCTGATCGTCTTCTTGAACCAGGAACGCGCCGATGAGCGGGGACTATCCGAGTCAGCATCGCCATTGTTGCTTCCTGGAGAGCAGGAGCGCTTTTCGACCCTTCCAGGTGACAAGGACGGTCGTCTTGGTCGCCCTTCTTCTCAGATCTCGCAGGCGGCATAATGCAATGCCAACTAGATAACTCTCGTGTGACCTAAGAGCCGTGTGACCTAAGATAGGCACCCGGGGGACGGGTGGGGTTGGTATGGTGGTTAGGGTGGGTTGGGGTGCGGAGCGGGTGATTATCTGTGTTAGGTTTTTAGTTTGAAGTGCCCGGGTAACTCGTATCTTAGGTCACACGCCCGTTAGGTCACACGAGAGTTACACGTATAACTAGAGCGAGACAGTCTGATTCAACAATGAGACATATGAACGTGCATTCACAGCTCCTGAATTATAACTTATGTACACTCTGAACCGTCCAAAGATGTAAAAGTTCTGACAGTGAGGTTTCTGGACGGCCGATCTGTTTCGATTTATGGTCACGTACCGTAGTGGCACGACCCTCTCACACCAAAACTAAATATTTTGGGCTTGTGTGGGAAAAAAAATAATTTCTGAACAGGCCTGTGTGAAATTGCGAAAGAAGGTAAAGCTGGTTAGTGTCGCGGTTACATACTTTCTGACTGCTTTATTTGGCTAACTGCCTAGGGTTTTCCCTTTGGTGTGAAATTTTGAAATTGGGCGATGGGCTGGTGTGAAAAAGTAGAAGCGAAAAAAATAACTGTTCGCAGCGACGAGGTGTGAAAGGGTCGTGCCACTACGGTACTTACTAAACGCAAACCGTTGAAGTGACAGCAAATCATGCAATGTCTTAGGCTCTGTACAGTGTAAGCGCTCAACCTAGTTTCTTTAGCTGACTCCTGCATCATGGTTCCAACTGTTCAGGGTGAACACGGCTCAGGGGGGAGGACGACAAGGAGTTCCTTTGCTGTGAGCAACGGAAGCTGCTGGTTGAGCTGAGCCGTGGTCATCATGTCGTTGAGGGACCTTGTGATGGGGGGCGCCGGGTGCTCAGCTCCCGGCGTCGGCCCTTCCACAGCAAACCCGATGGCGGGGTTGGCGGACTCGCTGATTGGAGGGGCAGCCAAGCAGCAGGTATGCGAGCAGCTATGATGGTTATGTTCCAGCAACTGTAAGAAGTATTTGAGTTTTCTTGGAAGGGCGTATCTTGTGCGCATATCATCAAAGATATGTCTGCTTTGTATGTAGAAACTTTGGAGTTCGTCTCTGAAAAGCTGCGAGGAGGTGTGCAGTCATGTGCGCTATCTTTTCAGCTTAATAAACACACTCTGCTGACTCTTTTGTGGGGCTTACTGATTCTTGGCAATATGATAGATACCTCACTTGTTGATGCATCATATTGTCCAGAAAAACTCAAAAGGTGAACCCTAATGTCATGATGGCGAGTTTGCGCTCGTAGTTGTCTCAACCAGCTAAAAGGCTGCACTTCCATCTTCTCAATTCTGAACTGGTTATGCGTTCTGCTTTTCGCACCATCCTCACTCCCCTTGCTCCATCTGCCAATTTCTGACCACCTTCCTTCTTGAACTCAAACCCCTTCGATGCACTCTATCTAACACCAGTTTGAATCTTTTCATCTTCTTTACAGGAGCGCCTGCGCGAGCTGCCTGGTCTCGCTGGCCCCGAAGTTGGCCCCTCCTCTCAAGACTTCGGCCGCTCCCGTCTGCAACCCCCCCTCCCCGGCTTTGAGCTAGACCACGGGATTGTAGGGCCGTCCGGGCCCCGCGGTCAGGAGTTTCTGCAAGGGTTTAACTCGCACAACCAAGGGTTTAGCGATGCTTGGGACGAGGCGCTTCGGCCGGGGTTCCCGCACGGGCCTCCGATGGGGCCGGAGGCCGCGCACTTCGAGGACTTTGAGCGGATCTATTCGCAGCAGGGGCCGATGCTGGCGGGACCGATGCCGGAAGGTGAGCGAAGAATGTCGATAAGACCTTTGAAAAACCCTTGCGAAGTCACGCTGGTTCACTATCGCTGTAGCTGAAAAGGCGTGGCTTCATATGAGTTGGGTGCGTAAGGGAGGGGCTGGTAGTGGATCGCGATTTGAACGCTGATGGCTGTTGGCATTTTCTCTGAATAGCTAGTGGTGGTGCGGCAAGCCAGGTCATTTCATGTGTAGTTTGCTTATGAGGCCTCAATCTGGTGTCTTCTTCTGTCTATGCATCCCATGGAGAATGTCAGTCATACTCAGGCATATCACGATGGCACAATAGTAGAACAGGATGGGCCCAAAGGTTTGGGCCTAAAGATCTGTCATCTCGAAGGAATTCATCCTAGTATAGATCTTCAGAGTGTTTGAACTGTGTGATACCCCCTAAGGCCCCCTCTATGTTTTCGAAACGTTCAGGCCCAGAGCTCGAAGAACGCACTTACAAACCTGCTTCTCTGAAGCTCACCTGCCCCCCACTTTTGAGCAGATTACATACCATGGGGTTCTGTCACTTTCAGAAGAACATTGTCGGACTTGATAGTCTCGACACTCCCCGGCAGCTTCGTGCTAAGCCGCTCTTCACCAAGTGGTCATTGATCTCGTCTGACTCATCTCTGGACAGTTTGCATATGCTGGTGTCAAGATCCTCACAGCGCCCCTACCCTTCCTCAAAAAACCCTTTCTCCTTTTCCCAGGCGCTCCTCAACAAGTCCTCGCCGGCTTCCTCCACTCGTTTCTGGACAGCTCTCGCACAGCCGCTCCGTTCCCCGCTGTCAAGCTGCCAGAGCTCGGGCTTTCACAAATGGACAAGGAGAGGATTCGCAACCGGAGTAGCATTATGGCGCGGCACATTTTTGCGGACAAGGGCCCAATGTTTGTGGAGAACCAGGTGAGGCCAAAGGATGATCAGTCAATGAGGTTTGTGAGCAGTGGTCGGTGCGTTCAAATCCCCTCGATCCAAAGTTGAGAGTTACAATTTTAAGCAAATTTTACTAAAGCAACAAAATCCTGAACGTTGATGCTGAAGGCAAGTGCCAAAGGTTTCTCATCTTTCCTCGAAGTCCGACTTGTTGAGTTTCTTCTCTCATTCGATGAGGGCGAGCAAGAAGTTTAATCTTGTGTTTTCAAGTCCTAGAGTCAACAGGTTTGGATAAGGTTTTGCTTCCTTCCAATTCGCTGACTGAAGACTTTTTTTTTGGCAGGTCAATGCGCTGCTTCAGTCCCTCGAGATTGACCGCAACCCGGAGCTCGAGCACCGAATGCACGGCCCGATGGGGGGCGCGTTCCGCGAGTTTGAGGACTACTGGGCGGAAGGGGCGCCCCCGGTGAATGGCCCCGGTCACCCCGACCAGTGGGCGGCGGAGTTTCAGAACAAGCTGAGGCTGCAGAACGGGAATCACTGGGGGGAGGAGTATGCCCGGGAGAACAGCAGCGGGGGCACGTGGGGTGACGAGTTTGCACAGGTGAGGGGGCTGCAAATCTATTTCTGGTAATCAAGGAAGATCGCAGAGAATTTCATATGTAGTTTAGCCTTCTCAGAGGCCTTTTTCAAATGGCTTCCGTCTGGACGTCAGAATGGATCAGGCAAACGAGGGGATGATGAAGACGGTTGAGAAAGACAACGACGGGGTTGAATGCCAGTGGGAGTGGCTTACGTTTTAAGGGACAGACTCAGATGCAGAGACCACGATTGTACTTATGGAATTCTGTAGCGAGTTGACTTTCTCTAAGGCATTTTTCCATGAGCGACACGAAGACGAGAACACGAAGTGAAAAGGTGACAAAAGAAAGTCAGCTTCTGGAGAAGCCTCAAAATTAACGGCCATGCACTGCTTATCATCGGGATCCTCAAACAGAACTTTGCATGCTGAAATCCTGAGATCTGCTTAAAGTCCTGGCTGCCACGTTTCCAGGAGCAAGGTGACCAATGGGCAGAGGAGATGGCGGCACAGGAGCGCCAACGGCTGGGGTTGTTGCCAGGTCAGCAGGCCGCCACGTTGGACCAGACGCGCCAGCTGGCGGAGACGCTAAGCCAGAATAAGGACCCCAAGTTCCAGGTACGCTGTTCGTTTGGACACTTTCGGACTCGATTTGTACAGGTTTCCGACACATGTCCAAACACGTTTCCCAAGTATTAATCCATGGCTCTGACTTTGAGGCATTAGTTACAGCTGGCGGAGAACCTGAGCCAAACAAGGTCGATGAGTTTCAGGGACGCTCGCCGGGCGGGTTTCCGAAACGAACGCCTCTTCAGTAACCTGAAGCACAGGCATCTGAGGATATGTGCATGTCAAGCAGTTGTGGCAATGAGAGGCGCTGAAGAACGGATTGTGCCTTCACTCAGCCTGCAGAAGGAATATTGGACCGTTAAGAAAAGGTTTTCTGAAAGCCCAGCACAGAGGTGCAGGTATTACGTGCAGAACTCCAGGTCCCTCACATTTGTGCCAAGATGAGCCGAGGCCAGTTGATAATGAGAATACCCTCTTGTCATTGGTCCCTAAAAGGAGCCCCCCGCGCTAGTTTCTGGAGGGTTTTTCGAAGAAGCAGACTTTGACACCTACGCTCTTAAAGAACCAAGTCCGCCGATCTTTTTGCAGAACTCCAAATTCCTCCAGTTCGTGTCCAAGATGAGTCGCGGCGAGCTGATCATGGAGGACAACGCGGTGCGCGAAGCGGCGGCAGGCGACGGGTGGGCCAACGAGTTCCAGGTACAGCAGACGAGGGGCGCCTTTGGAGGGCCACAGCAGGTGCGGGGATTGGCCTGAGGCGCTTGTCTCTGTTCATATTCGTGGGCAATCGTTCCGGAGTCTTCATGCGCTGTTGATTCTGTGTTGGATACTTCAGGTGAGTGAACGGGAACGTCATGCGAAACCTTCCCTAAAAACGTGAACGATTAGAATTCTCGTAAGTGGTGCAACTCCAAACTGCATCTGACGTGCCACACTTGTTGAAATTCGGACGTTGTACGCTGCAGGCGAATGACTGGGCGTCCGAATTTCACCGCGAGCAACAGCAGGATCCACAGGGCTGGGCCGACGAGTATGCACAGGAGCAGGCACAGGGCCCCAAAGACTGGGCCGACGAGTTTGGGGACCAGGTCGCAAAGGGCGCGCTCGACATCGATGAGAGTGGATGGGTGGATAGCTACAACCAGTTCCTGGACGAGAGCCGGGGGGGAGAGGCGTCTACCTCGAACATGTGAGCCGCAAGCGTTGCTAAACCGTTTTCATCCATTCCGATCCCGTGCAGCTAAAAGTAGCTGTGCTCAGACTTTTCTGCTCACGCTCGGTACAAGGGGTTTTTGGAAGCGTGTAGTGCAAATTTGAACTCACTTCTGGGTCACTTAAGTGTTTGGGAGCGGTCGCTGACAGGAGGTAACGACAGGACGTCGCAGAAGACAGCGTGATTGCAGCGCTGTCCCGTTACCTTCATGCCGCTTCTTTGCTTCCGTCGATGGTTCTTCTCAAGTCGATAACTTCCCGTCCGTTCCCTTCACAAAGTACAAGCTTTGAAAATGGGGTAAAGTAAGGGAGTGGAACAAAACCACTAGGAAGTTGTTCTACCAGTCAAGAGGTACGGCTTTTTCTTGCTCACCAGTCGTCTCTGCCTCCACAGGGACTACAAGTTCGCGGAGCAGAATCCGTACATGGGCCACCCCGCCCCGCTGCGTGAGGGTCAGGACCTTTTCCGGCGCGGGCTGCTCAGCGAAGCGGTGCTGGCGCTTGAAGCGGAGGTGCTGAAAAACCCCAACAGCTGCGAAGGGTGGCGACTGCTGGGGAATTGCCACGCGGAGAATGATGACGACCGCCAGGTATCGGGCTTGCGTTTTGGGGCTCAGCTTTCCTCATTTCTCTGACTTTTGTCGTCTTACCTTTTTCGCCTCGTCTTGCAGCCAGCTTTCGTGCTTCCATGCGATTGTTTGGCCTTCGGGGAAACGGCTTTGCAGCAATCCATCGTTTTTGAAGCATCTTAGTCCCACTTCTACTTGGTCTAGATACGCCGCCTTGTCTTCCTTCTTTCCCCTTTCCTTTGGAATACGCATGGAAACACTTTTTCCTTTTTCCTTTCTTGTTTTCAGCTATATCCAAGGGGATCGGCATTGTCGTTACTGATAAGAAACTCGGTGATGTGGCGTTAGCAAGAGCTTTCTCACCTTACGTTCCACTCGGGCTGACCTCCCCGTCACTTTCTTCAGGCGATCGCAGCCATGCTCAAGGCTCGGGAGGCCGACCCGACCAACCTGGAGGTCCTCTTGAGCTTGGGCGTAAGTCACACCAACGAACTGGAGCAACAGGAGGCTCTGGGCTACCTCCGCTCCTGGCTACAAAACCACCCGCGCTATGGGAAGCTCGTGCCACAGGACGGGTCCGCCGAAGGGCTCGGACACGAAGAGGTGAGGCGGTACAGGTTTTTGGAAGTTATTCGTTGGCAATCTGGTCTTGGACTGATGGTTCGAGGACTATCTCAGTGCGTCGCACGCTTTTGTCGGAGCTTTGAAGCCATTCGCGGGCCGTCTCGATTGGGGAGTTGAGGATCTTTTCCAAAGCGAGGAGGCCGCTTGTGCTTATGGCGGAAACCCGCTTAAACATCAACTAGGAAGCTCCGACTGCTTAAGACAAAAGTTCCAATCTTAGATGACCGCCGGAAGATGCCGACCTGCAAATTGTGCCGGGGTTGCTCTTGACTTTAAGCTGCAAGCGCCAAAACCCATAGATTTGCAAGCTCATAGTAAGTTTAATCGCTTTGTCGTATACCCCCATTTCAAGTTGTGCACATGTTTCTGACGGCCGTTTTGGGAAGCGCCGGACGCTAGGGTGCCGCGGGTGTTGTTCAACGTGAGCAGCGAGTATTGATAAGAAAGACGGAACATTCTTGATGCATTTTGCTTTGAATTCCCGATTTCAAATCTTTGAACCTTTGAGGTGGTCAATATGTTCCGGGCGGCCGTCCTGGAAGCGCCGGAAGACGCGGACCTGCACACGGTGCTCGAGCGTGCTCTTCAACCTGAGCCGCAAATGATCCCTAAAGTATAAAAATGGTCAAGCCAACAAAGTCTGAGACTAATAATCGTCATTCTCAGGTGGTCAATATGTTCCGCGCGGCCGTTCGGGAGGCGCCGGAAGACGCGGACCTGCACACGGTGCTCGGCGTGCTGTTCAACCTGAGCCGCGAATACGACCTCGCCATCGAGGCCTTCCGCCAGGCGCTGCAGCTCAAGCCCAAGGACTACTCGCTGGTAAGAAGGGGCAGGAACCAGAGCGGGATCTGGACTTGGATTGTGGAAGGTTGCGCTTCGTCTTTCACAGCGCTGAAGCCCAAGGGCTACTCGCTGGTGAGTTAGGGGCAGGAACTAGAGCGCAATACGGGATCAGACCGTTGCGCAGAAGATCTTTGTTTGCAAAGTCCTTGCTCTCTTACAGCGCTGAAGCCCAAGGACTACTCGCTGGTAAGGAAATGGGCAGGAACTAGAGCGGGATACGGAATCGAGCAGAAGGTCTTTGTTTGCAAAGTCCTTTCTTACAGCGCTGAAGCTCAAGGGCTGCTCGCTGGTGAGGAGAAGGGCCGGAACCAGAGCCGAATACGGAATCAGATTGTGGAAGGAAGGTTGCACCTTTTCTTTTTATGAATTTCATGTTCTCTTACGCTGCTCAAGCCCTAGGACTACTCGTGTGAGACGGGGGTTGGAATCGTTGTATTCCGTATCCGATGATCTAGTTGAAAAACCGAACCTTCCCGCCTACGAAGTCCTTGTCGTTGTACTAAGAATCTCTGATTATCTAATTTTTTCTGTGGAAGCAGTGTGCATGGAACCCTCGCTGCACTTACGATGAAATCATAGGAACAAGCTGGGAAACGTTGAGGCAACGCTTTGGAACTCCTCAAAAACTTCGTTCGCTTCTGCAGTGGAACAAGCTAGGTGCGACCCAGGCCAACAGCGCGCGAAGCGCCGACGCCGTTCAAGCGTACCAGGAAGCGCTGGACCTTAAGCCCAACTACGTCCGGGCGTGGTCCAACATGGGCATCGGTTACGCTAACCAGGTAGGGTTACCATGGCATGCTCCAACATGTACGTTGGTTGCGCTAACCATGTTGTGGATGACCGCGTTTTGGGTATGCCTTTGGGCAGACTTTGCTGGGTCATTCGGTCCGGGTTACGCTGACCGGATAAGGTTCATCAGCAATTCATGGTGATGCGGAGAAACCCAGACGGGGTTAACGCCCTTCAACGGGCTGTTGATGGAATTTAATAAGGTATTTGGGCCCTTTCCTGTGGGCGTCATTGGCCAGGCTCTTTGATGTTTGTGCGGACGCTAGATTCGGATACCCGATATCTACGGATTTATCTCGTGGATCCATTTTTCGTTCTTGTCGAGGATTGGATTCTTCACCTTTAGAATGACCCAGGGGCACGTTCCTCGTCCAATCGTTGCCCAATACTTTTGCTGAAGACACTTGCTGGCGAATCATGCGCCTCGTTTTACACAGTACTCACTGACATCTTCAGGACCGCGGCGAATGGCATCGACTAGCTTCGATAGGTCTGACGGGACGCTCAACTTTGCAGGGGCGTTACGAGGAGTCTATCCGGTACTACGTTCAAGCGCTTCAGATGAACCCGATGTCTGACAACGCCTGGAACTACCTGCGAATCTCGCTTAGGTAAGGGGCACCACTCCTCGGGCATCTCTTTGTGGAAAGAGAGGTTTTTTGCGGCCTCTTCCGCTGGTTATCTTCGCTTTGCATCTTGGTTTGACGCTTGCAAGGGTTGACGTCTTCGTACCAAGTCTGGCATGCATTGTCGGAGGCCACCGCAAACTGGCTGTCGAAGGGACACCCCTTTGGGTGAACAGATGCTGATCTTGAAGCAAGAGAAAAAACAGGGATGTGAACGAACCCGACTGTGAATTGAAAGCTTTCAAAGCGCAGCCTGATTTTGGGTCGCACTCCGTGACACGTGGAGCAGAAGGGTCATCCGGTGATCAAGTATGACCTTATTGTTTGAGGGTTTCGCAATGCGGGGCGTTGGAGGGATTTGACTTTTTCTTTTGGGCGCTGTTGACCCAAGGACGTTTGATTTCTGCAGCTGCGCTGGGAGAATGGACATGGTGGAACTCGTGGACCGCAAAGACTTGGACGTGCTAGCAAAGGAATACCCATTGTAAGGTCTCATGCGGCTATATGTAAACTCTGGCGTTGACAAAGAGTCGCCCACCCAAACAAATTATGGTATCGTGGTTGTAGGTCTAGGCAGAACACGATCATGCTCACAAATATATATCGCAATCCGATTGGTATTCACTTTTGGGACTCCCTGAGGCACCTCGTTGTGCCAGCTTTGTGCCTATGCGTGATGAGTTAGGACGGCTGGATCTGTTCTAGTGCTATGGCGCGCCGCACATAATAAGCCCGATCGTGTTCGTTTCAATTGACAGTTTGTGATCCGTAACGCCGTGATCCAAGTGCAAGCTTGGATGGTTGCGTTGCTCGAAGTGGCATGTAATCTGCGTCGAGTCATGCTGTTCGAAAGCTCGAGACCGGACTTTCAAAATTTTGGGGCATACGTTTTCCAATCACAACCTGGGTCTAACGAGCTAACTTGTACGACACGAGTAGGCGGCAGCCCATGTCTGGGACGGGCCAGCGGCCCAGCAGCATTGTTGGGCGGCGTGAGTCCGTCAGAAGATCCATCGATCCGTCAGACTATCTCATGCAAACGGTTCATGATAGAGCCACTACGCTGAGTTGGACCGCGTACCTGCATTGGTACATGGTGCCAGACGACCGCATTAAAATTGATTGATCGCACGCCGCTCGACGGCCCCGTGACCGGGCTGAGCGCTGTACTAAGATGCATGTCATGCAGCCTGCCGGGTGCATGGGCTGCATCGCACTGCATAATTGATTCATTGCCCATTGAAATGAAGGCATTCAGTAGATTCTAAAGACCGTCGGTTTGCCTCCGCTCGCGCCGCAATGATGTGCATGGCACCCACACGTACTGACAGGTAGGCGGCAGCACACTGTGACAGCCTGAGTCATTGGCACCACGGGAGTACCATGCATGCGCATGGCATGTCATATTTGCACATACTTTCTACAGTAACGGCCGCGTATGCAACACAGTGGCCGGTGCTAAAGGATGGTTAGGAGCATGGGCCCGCGCGACCACCAATCAGCATGTCTAGCGGACCGTCTAGCTGCTGAATTCAATTTTCGAAGGCGTGCGCGCTGCCGAACTTTGTCAGACGACTGATGTCGTTATCGAGCTAGCTAGTTGCATACGCGATTGTGGTAAGTTGTTGTTGTCCGCCTCTCATTTCCACAACATTTGAAGTTGTTAAGTCAACGCTGCGCTAAGCCAACTTATCGTGGACTTATCGAGGACGCGTTACTCAACTTACAATGCGATCATGCAAACGCAATCAAGTCACCTGATGGTGGAGACCGATGCCTATGAGGCGGGGTTTCATATTAAACTCAATTAGAAACGAGTCCTTCTAGAGGATCCCCCTGTAGTTGGGGATCCTTCGCAGGCCCCTTTTCTACCGGGGCGTCTTGTACGTTTCCCGCCGTTGCCCCCACGTTCACATTCGCGATCTGCCCTATCGTCTGCTTATTCGTCCATATCTGATACTCAGGCATGGTGACCAGCTCAAACACCCCCCCAAACGTCTCCGTGAGCGCTTTCGCCACCGACGCCTCCGCCCCCGGTTTTAGGTTCTCGTGTTGCTCCACGGTTAGCAGCTTAACCTTGGGTAACCAACTCAACCTGTTAAACGTGTCCTGTGTGAAAACCTCCCGCTCTGAGCCCTCGATGTCGATCTTTGCCAAATCGAACGACCCGAGGTTGAACAACTGCACGAGGTAGTCGACGGTCACCGCCGGGAAGAAGTCGAGCGGTTCGGAACCGGCGGTCTTTGCTGCCACGTCAGCTTTCGTCACCTCTTCCACGACGTACTCCCACTCGTGGCCGCCCTCCTTGTACTTCTCGCGAATACGCAGCGCCGTGACTTTCCACCAAAGACCTGCAGAAGAAGCATTTCTAGTTTGTATGTTTGAGGATCCACGCGTTTGAGGATTCACAACCCGCTTTCATAACCTATGCGACGAATTCAATCTCTTTGAAGGGAAGCTTCCAAGTGGTCCCTTCCACTGTACTATATCAAAGATACCAACTTCTGTCCGTCGATTATTTCCAAAAACCAATCCGACTCAACAAAGCTTGATCAAGCTGGTTCTTCAGACCGCCGTTGAAACTTTTGAAACAGCGGTGCAGAGAAGAGACATTCGCTTAATGCCCAAATCTTCATGGCCTGCAATCCACTAGAAGGTGGTTCCAGGGGCTCCAACAGAGCACCGAGATTCATTAACTTCCGTCCCAGAAATCTGCAATTTCGGCCAGTGCCAGACAGAATCAAGAGAGGCCCCACGTTGGTCTTACAAACGCAGAACTAGCTGATTAATGCGCAAGGAGGCGGTGTCAAAGGCGATGATGTCTGCGGCCAGGGTGACCTTCGCGAAAATATTGTTCTCTTTGCCTAAAATCCAGTCAGAAGCCCATTCCACGTTGAGAAAGTTGATGAGATGTCCAAGGCACCCCTGCAGGTCACAAGAACTATGATAGCGCTTGTGGTGGCGAGCAAGAAGGTACAATCGAAATTTCTCCCATGCTGTATTGCTTTCAGATGATTTTGAACTGTGGGACTAGTCCGAGCATCATAACTGACTACTGGCTGTGCCCCACACCCCACTCCTCCTAGAAAAACTTAACAGAAACTGCAGAACCTCGAGCAAAGTGTCAGGCTATGTAGGCCTGTGTCTAAGTTTCAAACATCCAGCTGCGGATGCACCATTAATACTTGAAATTGGGCTTCCAGATCGGGAACTTTTCAATGGACTCATCAAAATAAAGTCAACAACACTGTCTCCTGACCGCTTCCAAAAAGGTGCCTGATCGCAGTAACGGAACACCCAGTAGAAATCAGCAGGATCTCTCACCTGCCCTTAAGGGGATCACATTCGCAAGGTGCTTTGTGTTGCGCCGCAATTGCCGGTAGTTATCCGTGTCCGGTTCAATCGTAATGATTGTTGCATCAGGAAACCTGAACAGGCAAGATGCAAGTTTCCATTAGAAAGAAATGCAAGAGAAGCTTCCCTTACGCCTTGCAATTGTCGGAGCGCAGATGTATAAGGTGTGGGAGTGAACCTCGTTCGTTGCATCAGTCTGAGACAATTCAGCATTTAATCGGACAAACACATAGAGCCCTGGTTACCATGACATCAGATTGACCAGGATTGGTCGTGACACACATACTGCAACGTCGTCTTTGTTCAAACGCACATTCACCACCACTCCAATCTAGGGTTTCCGAGCCCTTGAGTGCCGACCGTGACTCACATCGTGCCGAAGATGAGCGCCCCAAACCCGACGTTGCCCCCGGCATCCAGGATCGTCTGCGGCGTGTAGTCCGCCAGATAGTAGTACTCCAGCTTATCAAACAGCTGCAGAACCACTTCAATGTCCGAAGTATGCGGCCGAACGTACAGTGTGACTAGGCACTCCTCCGCCAGGCACGGAATCACGCCCGCCGCTGACACGAGCAAACACTCGACGTCCTTTGCGGGGACGTCATATAAATGCTGGCGGAGGGACTTGATGTCCCACCACTTGTAATCCCAAGAGTAGCGGTTCTCCCAAGGCTTTGAGCCGTGGGGTTGGCTCAGTAACTGCTCGACTTGGCTGTCTGGCAGACCGCACAAGTCCCCGTGCTTTCGCACACCGCTGACCGTAGCTACCTGAGTTGTTTCCAACTTTGAACGACTGCTTTCAGATCCTACGAGAGTACGGCTCGCTAAGGAGGTTTCGGGACCTGATTGAGATATGCCAGCAGCTAGCTGACTTTCAGACCCTGCCTGAGTACTTTCAGAATGAAATTTACTCCCTGATTGAATGACGTCAGCTACTGTCACCAGCTCTCTCGTGAGAGGCGACCTTGCCGACCCCTCGTTCACATAGATTACACGCTGCTTTCCTGCAGGGCCTACTACGGTTCCTAAATAGAATAAGAAAGCACCACCTGCGATGAGAAGGAGAATGGAAATCACCGAGCTCCATGAGCCCGACTTCATGCCACTCCTTGATCTCATCTTCGCTTTTGATCAAGGTGACAGTCCTATGCACCACCAGCTACTGTAGAAGGAGTACAAACTTTTGAGGAGTGGAAACCTGCTCTCTTTTGGAGAACGGAGCCCCATTGATGAGCTAAGTGACCTTTGAAAGGATGAGTCCTCCCAACGCTTTACACATTAAACGCTCTGACGTTACAAAAAGACTTCCGATCTGCCACAATCGGTGACTTGCTGCTTCTATGGCTTCCTTTCCCAACCTGCTGCAACGCCCCTCAATTTGGATTTGAAATGCGCCCCTGAACATGGGGCTCGAAAGCGCCTCTGCATTGCATGTGGGCAACTGCCCCAAACTGCCCTGCCCACATGTGACAGCATCGTCAACATGCGCGGGCAGCCCTGTCGGCATGCTTCCGGTTTCCGCTGGGTTCCGCGGCCTCTCGTAGATATTATATATACGTACTTTTCTGCACGGCTTCCGGCGGTCTGAACTTAATTGGAGGAGAAACGGTATTAGGGCCTGAGGCTAAGAAGCTAGTCCACGTGATACATCGGACAGCTATAACTTAGTATAAGGACGCAAGGCACTTGACTGACGGCTGGGAAACAGTACTTTCTGAAATTCTCGGTCCCTGGATATGTCTGCAGAACGTGGGCGAAACCCGCCTAAATAAATTCACCAAGTTGGGGAACAGATGATCAGCCACGGCCCAGATGCTGAGAAAGGAGGAGGCCACTGCTGCCAGTGCTGGGCAATGGCGAAGAGAAGAATGGCTGGATGAAAACAGCTACTTTGCAGAAGTTGTAGCCCTTACGCTGTTACTAGTACCTCGGCGTTTTTGCCTGCTTGCTGCATTCCGCACAGAAGCTGCTCTGTTTTAGAGCAATGTGGAGGAAAGAACTTGCCTGACTGCGCCTCGTCTTTGGCTGACAACCCAAGTGGGTGGGACAAGAATCCTGAAGGTGAGCCGTTTGCTTAGATTGCAACAAGAACTGTATGTCATTGGAGGGCAATTGTCCTTTGCTCAGCAGACGTTCCTCGAAGGGCAACAAACTGATAGCACTCCTGCTTTTTCCAGATGCCTCTCTCAATATGACCCTTCAAATGTGGCTCCTGCTCAGCTATGAGATAGCGATTCTCAAATGTTGGGGTCCTTTTGAGTCCCAGTCCATCTTCTGATCTGCAGTTCAGGGCCTTTCACTTTTGGAATAAAAGGCTGAATTATGACATGGAGGTGCCGGTGGCAGGATTGGCAAGTCGCCGAGTCCTGATTGGTGGTGCATTTGACATGGTTGCACTGTGTATCGGTTTCATCGTGTTAAATGCTTTTTACAAAGAAAATGAAGACAAGGAGAAAGAGACTGCTTTCAGCTGAAAACTTGTGTGGGACTAGTGTTTGCCTCTTGATGTCAGGACATTGGTCGGACTACTTCAAATTTGCTTGAGAGAAATAGTATGCGGCTGTCCGCTCGTTTGAAGTCAGACTTCCTGCTGTGAATGCAAGACGATAGCGCTGATATTAAGTGGACCTAAAAGCCAGACCATACAAATAAGGTCTCAAACCCCTTTCTTTGCCCTGCCTCCGCTGTAATTGGGAGCCAATTCTGTCAAGCTGATGAAGTTGCTCACATTCATCTGTTGTGTCATAGAACATTACAGGATACCTACGCTGTGCAAGCAAGAAATAGGCTGGGTTTCCTGCTGATTTGTTGGGTGCATGACCCCGGCAGGCATCTGCTTCATTCATCGTATAACTTTTGCTCCCTCTCTCTGGATTTCTTTCCGTTTTGAAAAATGGGGGCTACCTTTATGACTGATGCAGCTTTCCAGTTCTTCTGTGCAAGGATCACTATTGAGACGTCAGGGAGAGGACGACTTCTTTGCAGAGGTTTCGGATTAGAACGTGACACATGTTCAGATTACTTGAATCAAAAGGCAACAGTGACAGGCACACAGGGGAAAGGAATGAAGCTTTCTGCATCTTAAGGAGGACTGAAAGGATCCAACAACCATTGCAGCAAAGGACCGTTCCTTTCTAACATTGATTGGCGAAGAGCCGCTTCCGATTTCCAGGTCTAATATCATTGGCAGTCTCTTCCAGGTCTTGAGGGCTTCTTTTCTACCTGCCGGCATAGAAGTGTAACATTGACACCGGGCACCCCCGGGAGCGAAAGGCGGGCTTCTTCTGAGTTGGCGGACAACAGTGTACCTGAGCTGCAGACTGCATGGAGAGAGCTTAGCCCAATTCTCCCCGTCACTTCTGGCGAGAACAGAGTTCTAAGATGTTGGGGGCAGACTTGGCGGTGGGGCCGAGTGGACAAGCTGAAGGGGACCCGACAGACGGCGGCTCATTCTCTGGTCCCAGAAGTGGAACGGCGGTCAATAGTTGCCCCGTTGAAAACGCCGTAGCTATGCTTGCCGCAAATGGTGGAGCTGTGGGGCAAAGTCCGGGATCAGCGGGAAAAGTGCGCCAGTCTCGGGCGCCTCGTGGTCTCTCTTGTGCTCAGTGCGGCGTCTCGGATGCACTGGTTCGAATAATTGCTCACAACAAGGATGGGGAGGGCTACCATTGCGGGGCCTGTTACCAGCACCGCCGGAAGCTTGAAGGACCCCTACCGGCGGCCTTCCTTCCCAGAAGAAAGGCCGGTCTCATGAATGACCGTCCCCATGCCCACAACGGGGCCGTGCAGAGAGGGGCAGGTATAGTCGCCGGAGGCGCTCTAGGGCCAAGCGCGGTAGGAGTTGCAAGTGGTTTGCGAAAGGCGCCAATCATGACGGGTAGCGGGGCAAAAGGCGCGGCAGAAAATCGGAAGAAGCGGAAGGTTTCGGAAGGGGGGACTGGTGGGACCCCCGCAAAGAAGCGCCCCCCTCCAGAGGGGGCGGCTGCTGTCGGCACGGGGGAGACCGTTCACGGGGATGAATCGCAGGCAAATGGTGGGAATGGAGCAGACGGGATCGGAGCAGCTTCGCTTGAAACGGGGGCAGGGGCCAGTCCTTCCTGGCAGGCTGGCAAAAACGTTTCTGCACAGACAACAGACTTTTCCAACCCGGCTCCGCTCACTCCCTCCGAGCTGCTGGATGTGGCAGCGGCTCCGCCTGTTCCGGTCAAGTCAGCGGGCAGCCCGGAAGACGAGGCGACCCTGCAACAAAAGGCGCTCGAACTGGCGGAGGCCCATCCTGCGGACCAGCCTTGGGAAATGGAAGACATCGACGGCTTTGTGGATTCTCAGGTGCGTCTGCTTGAGGAGTTGTCCCCCGCTGAAAGTATGAAGAGGCCGTGTGTCCGGGAAAAACCCTCAGGACCTGATGAAGAAGGAGGGGCGCCTGCGGGTGCAAACGGGGGGCTTCCGGTTGAGAAGGCAGGGGATCCCCCGGGATTGCGGAAGGTGGAGGAACGAGAGGCGCCAGCTGGCGGCGAAGCGAGAATGCCAGGTGGCAGCAGGGACGCCGCTGGTCCAGACCACTGGCTGCAGGATCTTATCGTCGAGCCTGACGGGCGGCAGGAAGTCGTCTTGGGGGACGCAGTGCCAGGGGGTGACATGCTAGCGTCCCCTGCTTCGATAGAAGGCGCTTCTCAGGGGAAGACGGCAAGTGAGGGTGAAGAGGAGAGGGGTTCTGCAGCGCAGGGGAAGAAGCGGGGGGGGGTGAGGACTGTAGTCCTTGGAGTGGCCGAGGTTGCTTCCAGGCTTGCCTCAAAGTTGCTTGGGAAGAAGGCGCAACGTGGCGATGGGGGCTTGGATTCGGAAGCTGCCGCAGAGCCTGGCATTGGTAGGAGACCCCAAGAAGTGGTCGCCCTGACTAGTAGGGAGACAGAGCCCCAGTCGCCGTCGGGGGCTCTGGAAGGTCCGCTGTCAGACGAGCCTGACTCGCTGCCATCCTTGGGAAAGCGAAGTACATTGCAAAATGGGGGGCAGGAGGAAGATGGTGGAACCGCCCCCAAGGAGGCGGCTGCGGAGGATGGGGTAGCAGCTTCAGAGATGCTAGAGGCAGCGAAGGGGTCGGAGAAGGGTCCAGCGAACGGAGCGTTGGCGGGACCTCCGACTCAGGTGAGCCCTTAGGAGCGCAAGCAGATTGAGGAGAAGCCCGGAAAGCAACGTTAAAAACATCTGCAGAATCACATGGACGTTCTTGAATCTTCAAAACGGTCTGCCGACAGACGAACGTCCGTGGTCGGCAATGCGTTCAATCATCCGAGAACTCTCGCGAAATAATTGCAGACTTTTCCTGACGTAAGCAGGCTAAAACTATCAGCACTAAGCGCCAGGGGCAACCTTGTTGTCAAGAGCAGGCACTTTCAGGAAGCCCCACCTCGCAGCCTGGCCCGCGTGGACCAACATAGCTCGTGTTTCATTGCAATACAAGAAGCAGGTTCGTTGGTCGTCTGTCTATTGTTCATGTCTATTGTTCAGACGTCTTTTCACCCATCATATACCTATCCAACAAAGATTCTTAAGTCTTTGGACAGACACGCAAGCTGTCTGAAGCCTGAACTCAAACACGTGTGTTGCAGAAACGTGGCGGTCAGGTATTGGGCAACGGAGGGGACTCCGTCGGGGCCTCCATTGGTGGTTCTGACGACGTGGGGGCAAGCACAAAGGGAGGCGGTGGAGAGGATGAGAATATGGGTGATGTCCCCTCAGTAGTCAGTAGCCTGTCGGGAAAGGGGCCTGCGGGTTCGATTCTGCGAAACACTGGTGAAAAGGCGGGCAGCAGGGCGGATCTCTCAGAACCCGGAGCTGCTTCCAAGGACCAGAGGGGAGCGCTGATGCCGCAGAACGGGCAGGAGACGTGTGGTGCGGGCGACGCAATGGGAAGTTTTGCAACGGACGTGGGCCCTTCAGAAGGGAGAAAGCGGAAGCGAGCGCAGGTGGGAGACTGCTTGAGAGGGGCTGATGTTGGAAAGGAGAAGCGGAAGCGGGTCCGGTTGGATCCGGCCTGTGCGCAGTGCCAGGTGAAGATCGTGCATACGAACTACAGGCGGCATGGGCCGGACGGGTCAAATTGCCTTTGCGTCACGTGCGGAGACGCCTGGGCTGCGACTGAGGATGGCCTCAAGTGGGCGCTGCATAAGTTCGGAACGGCTGAGTGTGCAAACTGCAAAGTAAACACGACATTTCGACGGGAGGGTCCCGCAGGAAAGGGCACGCTGTGTGACCGGTGTGGGACAACCTGGAATAACCGGGGAAGGCCGGAGACTTTCTCGTGGGACCCTCCCCACGTGCTATTCAAGATGCCGGAAAAGAAGAGGAAAGACCCGAACGGGCAAGGGGCTTCCGGAGAAAGCAGCGGCGTGGTCTTTCTAACTCAGACATTGCGGGGCGGAGAGCAAGACGGGCTTAGGGACGAGGAGAGTGGTTTAGAAGGGGGAAACAGTGCGACGAACGTTGGGGGAAAGGAAAGCAGAACGAGTTGTGAAAGAAGGGGGAGCGTCGAAGGCAAGGGGAGCGCTAAAGGGCGATGCAACGGAGGGAAAGTTGTGCACGAGAAGGGCAGGGGGGTTGGTGAAACCACTGGGGAAACCAGGATTTGCCCCGGTTGTGAGAGGGCGATACCCCCTGGAAAGGCGGCCGGTGGGCCTGGGGGCCAGAGAACCCTCTGCAGAACATGCAACTTCGCTTGGCTGTATACCCTCAAGAAAAGCGACCAGATCCCGAACAACAGGCATCTGAAAAACGTCCCTAACGCCTCCAAGCTCGGCCGTGGGAAGAAGAGCGTCGCTTTGGGAGAGCCTGTGGCAGTGGGGAAGAAAGGCGGCGGTCCGATGGGGGAGCGGGAAGAGAAGCAGCAGCCTGCCAGGGAAGAAGCAACAACGACGGAGGTCGTCAAATCGTCGCCGCTGGCTCAGAGTGGGTTGAAGGGAACGCGGAAAGGGAGAAAGGGGGGCGATAGCCAGCGAGGAAAAAAGTCGGGGGGCAAGGGCGGAGCGTTGAGGCAAAAGAATGTTGAGAAGGGGTCAGGGGAGAAGGGCAAAATACGGAGAGAAAAAGAGCAGGCCAAAGCGGAAGAGAAGCCGTCGGGGAAGGGGGACCCTCACGTGGGGCGGCCAGAAGACAAGAAACAGAATATGGGCGAAAAGGGCGGTGCAATATTGGCGACGGGGCAGGGTAAGAAGTTGCCCGGGAAGGGGAAGCGGGGTCGTCAGTTGGTAATCAGAAACGGAGGGGTGAAAGAAGTGGCCATTGAATTGAAGAAGCAGCGGAACGAGGGCGGGGGAAGCTCGGTGGTTGAAGAACCAAGCAAGGAGTTAAGTCCGCGGAATGTAGGGGAAAGGGAAAAGGGTTCCGTTTCGGAAGGGGCCACTAGTAGGGGGTGGGTGTATGACGAGACTCCGGAGGAAGGCAAGGGGGCTAAGGGCTGTGCCGGTGCAGAGAGCAGCGTCGAGGGGTACGTGTTCACGGTAGCAAACACCGGGAACCCGTTCATGACGCCAAGAGGGGTGAAGCTCTTGTCCTACTTGCTAGATGGCCCGGACGAGGAAGAGCCCGGGGAGGATCCGACTGGGGACGACCCGCCCAAACGGAAGCGGGCGCCGCTAGGGCTCGCGCCGCGCGAGGTGCGGGTCTGCGTGAAGAAGGTGCTGAAAGCGCTGGACCCGAGGAAGTTCATGGTGAGCAATCCGCTGTCGAATCGGGAGTCGTTTGTCGTCAGGGGGGTGGAGTGCTCGGTCCCCCAGGGGGTCAACGTCGGATCGTACTCAGCCGCAGTGCAGGAAATGGTCCTAGCTGCTCTTGGGGAGGAGACGAAAGTCCGGGGAAAGGCGACAGCTGGCGCGCCGATGTGGAAACCGGACGCGAAACTGTCGGAGGAGCTGCGGTGCTCGAGGAGTGATGGGCGGGGATGGCGGTGCGGGCAGGAGCGATGGGGCGAATACACCATGTGCGAGCATCACGTGCGACAAGCGAATGCGCGGAACGGGAAGAAGGGCCCTGTAGGGGGTCTTATGCAAAAGGCAAGGAAAGGGCCCGCGAGGTTGAGCGGGAAGAAGGGCGCGGCGCGGGGGTTGGTGTTGAAGGCGAAAGGCGGGGCGAGGGTGAGGGGGCTGAAGGTGGGAAAAGGCGCGGGGGACAAGCTGGCGGTGTTACAACGGCTCAAGGATGTGCAGCAAAAGAAGGTGAGGCCTCGCTTTCTGTCTTCCATCTTGTCAGCTTGGCGCGGCAATGACCAGTGTGAAGCTTTCAGCAATGTCGATCTTGCGGTCATTGCAGTCTTTTTGAACGGAGGTACGCGGTGAAAGTGTCCGACCTGCATTTCTGTGGCTTTTCATTCCGTCTCTTCGTCGAAGCTCGTACTTGACAATCTTCAGGACAGTAAGGCAAGCCCGCATTCTCTGTCTGCTACTTTCGACTCGCCCTACCTCAAGCCAACGTCTTTGTGCACCGCCTTAGGATGGCAGGCTAATAAGCACAGAAGTGGTAGCTGAAGAACGCTTCAAACCCATCAATGCAGAGACCAGTCGTTGCGGCGCCAGCCTGTGACGCATCAGGTGCAATATTCTACTGACAGGTTGAGAACTTGGTCACATAAGGACATAAGGTCCCTGCGTTCAAGAAGCCCGTGTCTGCGACTTTTTCTGGTCTTACCACAGTTGACTTTTTTGCAGGGGGTGGTCCAACGGCGGTGCCACCAGTGCAACAAGCACGGGAGTCTAGTGGGCTGCGGGGGCTGCGACACTAAGTACTGCCAAAGCTGCGTGGGGACCTGGTAAGGATTCCACTCTTAAGAAACACGCCTTCGACGATCTCAATCAGCATCACTTGCTTAGCAACAGACGGCAAGCATCCGCCTTGTCGAGAAAAGACCACCCCCCCGACTCAATCTGTTCAGAACGTCTTCTACGAGACTGCTGGAAGAAGAACAGATCAGTTGGTTCTTCCGACTCGCCTATGTGCTTAAACTGTTTTTCCTGTACTCTTGTGAGTCGAAACGCATGACCATTCCTCAGTCAACGCCCCGTTGCAACCCGATTTCAAAAGCGCTAAAGTGTATGCTTTGACACTCCGGCTTTTGATGTCCGCAGGTACTCCAAGCGTGCAACCGAAGTGACGGTCCACGACGGCAGGCGCCAGTGGGAGAAGTGTCCCCTTTGCGTGGGCAACTGCAACTGCCGGCGCTGCCTGATCGACCCCGCGCCCGCAAACTACGTAAGTCCGTAAAGGCGCTTGTATTAGGAGTTTGGGTTTTTTGGTTGAATCAGAGCTTTACGATTTCGGCGTTTGTCTGCGCTCGCTCCACAAGTGCCGTCGCTCCCTGATCGATTTTGTGCCCGCACGCTAAGCGATCCTCCCTGCAAGCCTTTGTCGCCAACATGCAAGCCCACCATCAATCCTTTGGTAGGAGAAATGATTCTCAACTTTGGCCCGGACTTCCTCCTTTTGAGCTTGTCATATTTTTCTGCACGGTAATTTGGGCTGCCTCGTTGATATGGGGAAGCCACTAAATCTCGATCAATTGCAAACGGAGACGGTGAACTTGTGAGACGGGCCAAGTGCCACGTGACTATTCCTCTTTTCGAGGATTTAAAGCAGCCGTTAAAGTCGAGATCAGGACCTTCTGAAGAAATTTGGGGCTCATCGGAACCTGTCCGCCTGGTCAGTGGTATTCTTCCTTCTTAGATTCTGCTTTCCTGTTGCAATCTATCTTTGAGTCGTCGAAAAAGAGAGGATCAACAGGTACCAGTTACTCTTCTTATCACTCCTGCTCGATTGGGAGCTCTGCAAATATGGGAGGAATCAACGCACCTTCCCTCCGACCCGTAACTCTCTCTTCGACAGGCGGGGTGCGACACCGATCCAGCCGCCCATGATCGCAAGACGGATCTTCTCCGCTACGCGCTGCGCATGATCGCCTCGAACCTGCACACAATCCAGGAAACGCAGCAGAAGGAAGTCACGCTCGAGCGCGCGCGATCGAGCGGGCGTTACGCGGTCAAGCGGGCCAAGGTTCAGAACGACGAGAGAGTGCTCTGGTGAGGGATGGAAAGATTGCTGTGTTTGATCTTGCTGGGACCTGTGGATTAAACGAGAAGTGCCTTATATTGCTGCGAAAGCTGATTTCGTCTGAAAGGTGCCTTTTGGACTTGCTTCTTTGTCTGTGTCAAGGAAAGGAAGTATTTGCGCTGAAGATCAGAGTGTTTATCTTGGGGCATCGATGCGAGTCTCCGCTTGGGAGGGTCCGTTTTCAAAGTATTCCGTGTGACAATCTCGAGTTCAACCGCCAACGAGTACTTTGACGTTTCGATTGGACGACTCTAGTCGTGCAATCCCTTGATCGATGCAAGAAGCGGGACGGAATCAGGTCCTGAATGCTTGGACAGCAGTGTCATTCTGCTTATTCGTCTTCCTAACACGTAATTTGATTCCTCATCTCTTCTTTGGAGGACGCCGATTGTTTGTTGAACGCAACTGCTCTTGAGCTGCTTCATTTCCAACTTTGTGCATAGTGACGTACTGTTAAGAAAAGCTGCGACGGGTCAAGTAAAGAATTCAGCCTTATAAATGGCTTTATTTGCAGAAACGAGATCTCAAAAACCCTGGCGACCAGATTTGCTAATCTTCGTTCCACCCGTTTCTGGCAGCAACTGCTGCCGTACTTCCATCGTGGACTACGTCCGCTCCTGCAGCGCCGCGACGCACTTCGACCTCTGCCTCCAGTGCGCCGAGGACGTCCGAAACCACAAAATGGCGCCGGAGACCGGACTCGGACCTCGTTCGGACAACAGCCAAACCCAGGGAACCCCCAAGCGCGAAGAGCGGACTGCTGAAGCGCCTCTTGAAGAAAGGGAAGGCGGTGCAGAGAAGATTGGACGGCTGGGGTTAGGAAAACGGAGGGCGGTCGACGAGGGTTCGGGTGCCGTTTCGACTTTTGGGAGGGACGGTTACGACGAAGTTCAGCGGTTGGGTGGTTCGGATATGGTCGCTTCTGGTCCAGGGGGATCAGAGCTGGTGGACTTTGCCGAGGGGGGGTCCGAGATGGTACTGGGGTCGCAGAAAGCGGAGGTGAAAGGCGGGTGGTGGTCAAGAGAGCCTGCCGCGGGGGTGGAAGAAAACAAACCCGCTCGGCTAGGGGGGCCAGCGGGTGCGGACGGGCCACCCCCCCGGAACGAAGGGGAACATGCGGCGGTCCTAGCTGGTGCGAACGAGGAGGCTCGCGCTGCCGACGCTGCTGACGGGGGGCTCGAAAAGTTTCCGGGAGACGACACGTGTACGGTTCCCAAGGGCTATGTCCGGGGAGGGGGGCAGACGCAGCTGGAAGAAAGGGGGGGAAAGGGGCAGGCCGGAATTGCACCTGCAGAAGCGGGGGGGAAAGCGGAAGCGTGGGGAGAAGCAAAGGAGCTGCTGGAATTGGGGGCTGCTGTTGCTGATGGGGGGTGGAAAATGGAGCCAGCAAAAGAGGGGGGTTGCGAAAATGCAGCCGGAAAAGTGAGTGCGGACGGAGGATTAGCGGTTGAAGGTGGGAAAGGGGAAAGAGAAGCGGTTGTGCTGCTCGATTGCGGAGTTTCACAGCGGCCTGCCGACGTGGATCCGTCTGGCGGCGGTCTCGAGGAGGGGGATTCCCCAGCGAAAGAACGCGGAGATGCGAAGCAGACGGTGACATCGGTGGAAGTTGGCGGCTTGACAGAAAACGTCAGGGGAGAAGGGTCGGGACAGGGCGAGCCGCTGAAAGTAATTAGACCTGCGTCCGATGTTGCGGATGCGACGTTGTCTGGCACCGGCACAGCCAATGGGAAGAAGGGAACCGCCCAGAAGCAGAGTCGGCGAAGCAGTGTCAGGGAAGTTCTTGCGCTCCTAGGCAACGACTCGCCCGCTCTCGAGTTTGCGGTAGACGGCGACCTGACCTCCGAACGGTCGAAGCGCACCAGGCCCCGTAATTCGGAGCTGGGCCTGACCGCGAGCCCGAGTAACTCGCCGACAACGCCAAAAAGGAGGCCTCTCCGGAACGGCTTGCGGCGGCGTTCGGGGAAGGGGGAGACGGACCTCGTCGTTCTGGACGATTCTGAGGGTGAAGCGGAGCCGGAAATGGACGGCGATCTGCCGCCGTGGCTGCCGACAGAACGGGGAAAGATCGTGTGTCCGGGGAAGGAGTGGGGCGGGTGCGGAAAGGGCGATTTGGAGCTGCGGTCGCTCCAAGGGGACAAATGGATGGAGAAACTGGACAGGGGGTTGCGGGAGATCGTGGGGGGGGGGTCGGAGAAAGCTGAGGTGAGTGTAAGAAAGGTATTTCCTGTTGTTCGAGGTTGGTGTGTGTTCTGACTGCTTCGTTTCATCAAGCACCCGTTCCATGGCTTGCATTCTTCGAGGGTTAAAGTTCAAGGTACATGATATGTGTTGTGAATCCAGAATGGAGACACCAGTTTTTTTAAGAAGCCCATGCAACGTTGGGCTGGTTCGTCTTCTGGGTGTCCATTGAGACGCTAACATGCGGAAGAACTTTTCCTGGTTAAATTTGTGGAGCGAGTCTGTGAAAGACTTAGCCTTGTATCCAAAGCATTGAATCTAAGTTACGGGCGAAATTGTAGATCTTCTTGCTTAATATTGAAGATTGTTCAAAGGTACCTGTTTGTACTTTCGAATCATTTCTCATAAAGCTTGATGCCGACTTTGCAACGAGCACCTGATGAAGCATTCAGGAATAGCACTAACGGCACCAAACGGAATGTTTCATTTTTTCCCGATGGAATTGAGGTTGAACCTGGTCGGATATTTGGAGGCGTCAACGAGTTAAAGTCGGACACGCCCATTGTCAGACTTGGTCTCCATTCATGGCCCACGTGAAATGAATCGACTGGCGTATTTGCTTCATGAGACCGCCCTAATCTTTGCAGGAGCTGCCCTGCGAGTGCGTCTCGGTAGCGCCGGCAAAGGACCCGGTTGCCGGTTCATCACGGATCTCCTACGACCTCGGACTGGCCAAGCGGTCGAACCTCCGGCGGGCCGCAAGTCGAGCAGATTCTGCGGCCAACTTTATCTACTCTCCAGATGCTAGTGACATCAAAGCGAACCCAGGTATGCGGGTATAGGTCGTCACGCTTTGCTTTGGCAACGTTCTAAATTGTTCCAACGACCCACAACAATCAGTTACAATTGTCGGTAAGTTACGGATTGCATGCATGTGCTTATAAGATAGCACTCTGAACCCCGTCTGGTCGCCTTGTCTCTGAATAGACTAAGCGAAGTCGGATAGTTAGGGCTGTCCCTGGCTTGGCCGCCATTTAGAGCAGGCTCATTTGCTTTATCGTTCTTGAAGGCCTTAGGGGCTCGCCAAGAGAGGGGTATTGGCAGCTGGAGTTTTGTTGCCAACGTTGTCCTTATTCTATCCCCTTCCCAATCAATGTCAGGGACATTTTACAACTGACTTGCGTATTTTGAGATGGTATGGCCCCATCTCCATTCCTTCAGGCCGTCCTTCGACAACGGGAGCGTTCACAAACGCAATGGCATTTCGGTGCATCTTTTCTGATAACTTGTGGCTGTCAGGATCGTCCTTTCTGTGGAGAGTACTGACGCGTTGGTGCGCTTCTTGTAGCACAAAGTGTGCAATACTTTCTGTTGAAGTCCGGAGCTCTTCTCTCAGCTTGATGTTGCCCAAAGACACCTGGCTTAACCATTACGCCTTCCCCTCTGCCAGCTGGCGCGCTGGAGCATTTTCAGCGGCACTGGGCGCGCGGCGAGCCGGTGATCGTGCGCGGGATCCAGAACCGCGCGGACGCGCTCAGCTGGGATCCGAACGTGATGTGCACCGCCGTCAAGGAGACGGCCAAGGACCGGGACACGTGGGAGCGAAAGGAGGTCGCGGCCGTCGATTGCCTCGACTGGAACTCGGTAAGGCCGTGCGATTGAGTTCAGGGGAGAAAATGCTTTGAGAATGTCTAGCGGTATACTGTTTTCAGGTCGACTGAACTCGGTAAGACGGGTAGGATATGAATGACATGGAGCAATGTTTTCAGATTGTCTATTTGACAAGTTTGTTTCGGGCGACTTGGGGCCCGGGGTCGTCGTTTGGAACTTGAATGGAATTTGATAAGGCTGTCGAGTGGATAAGTTTGTTTATTGTCTAGTTGCAACTCTATTCCAAGTCGATTGCAATTTGGGAAGACGGGACGAATCTAAAGTCGTGGGAGCTGCGCTATACAGGCTTTCGGAGTGAAAGCTGGCCCGAAAGTATCTGCGATCAGCAGAGGGGTTTTGCGGGATCATTCATTGACACTTCCTGAAGCTTATTGGAGGCCTCTAAATCCATTGCTGAATCGTGTCCACCTGGCGTTTACTTATTGTCGAGTGAGCCTCCCCTGGGGGTCCAGAAACAATATTCTCTCAGTTTTGAAACAACTTGCTTCGTTTGTTTGAGCAATCTCTTTAATTGTAGGGAGAAAAGTTTGGAGGCTGTTTTAGGAGCGCGATTTCGCGGCGTCACTGCTCATCAGCATCTCGAGACGCAGTATGTGCGAATTGGCATCAGAAGAGAGTCTGATTGGCGTTCCATGAACTTGGTTCTTTTCTTTCTATCCCCAGGTCAAGATCAAGACGCAGGACTTCTTCGAAGGCTACCTCACGGGCCGGGTTCACGGGGGAGACGGCGACGGTTGGCCGGAGATGCTCAAGCTCAAAGACTTCCCCCCCAAGGTGGACGCATGTTTGTGGGACCAGCTATTTGCAGCATTTGAATGTTGTGGCACTCGCGGGATGCGATGTATCGTGTTTTCGAAAGCTGGTTCGAAGAAGCACGTCAGTCGTAGTGCAGCTCCAGTACTTTGCTTGGCCAGTTCGGCGGGGTTTTGGCATCATTGACCACTCCGCTGTTTGTCCAAGTACTCAGGCTATGGCCTTCAGTCTGACCATCTCATGTCTCTTTTGACAATTCTGAAGTTTTGTTCCGACGTGGCTCATCCTGTCTGCTCAGTTGAGTCTTTGAAGCTACACCGAAGTTTTGAGATACTCGAACTTATGCCAGTACTGTGTCTTAGGCCCAGCTGAACATTATAGTTTTTCAAAGTGATGCGACTAAAGCACCTCTTAAGTTGGTCGGTCATCTGATTTCTGCAGGAAGCGATGGCTTCCCGGCTGCCCCGGCACTGCCGTGACTTTGTGGAGTCGTTGCCCTACCACGAGTACACCCACCCGACCAAGGGGCTCCTCAACCTGGCTGCTGCCCTGAAGGACGTGAGTGCCTTTCTATCAAGATCCTGCTTCAGGAATCTCTGCCTGAATGTGGATGTTTGGGAAAACGGTCGATGCCACTCCACTTTCTCGAAGCTGAAGGTTCCAGGTCTCGCAGACCTTACTAGTTGCAATTGTCGGGACACTCGTGTGCTCTCATACAAAATGCTTCGCTGACGCTGTTGCGACAGTACACCCACTCACACTTCAAGTGCACCTATTCCCTCCTGCTATTGCTCCGTTGTCCAAGTCGTGTTGTTCCCTTCGTTCTTTTCGTTGCAACTCTGAAGAGGTCATGCTACAGAGTGGTGAGCCCCTTTTGACGTACAACTGCTTTCGCACGCCTTTAATCCTTTTACCCCCCCCTCAAACATGCAGGACCAGAACCCCCCCGACCTGGGTCCCAAGAGCTACATCGCCTACGGCCACCGGGACGAACTAGGGAAGGGAGACTCCGTGACCAAGCTGCACTGCGACATGTCGGACGCCGTCAACGTCCTGCTACACAGCCACGTCGTCCGATTGTCCAAACAACAAGAACTCGAGATCGGACGGTTCAAACGCAAGCAGCGGGCAAAGAACGGGGTTGGCTTAACGAGAGGAGGGGCAATAGAGAACGGAACGGTCTCAGGCGAAGATGGGGGCTTCGTTTCGGCGGCGAATGGACCCCCCCAAAAGGGAAGTGGAAACGAGGAGGCAGGTGGAAACGGGGCGGGATCGGGGAGTGATTTGAAGCCAAGCGCGAGCGGAGGGGGCCTTCTGACGGCGGAAGTGACCAAAGAGAACGGAGTCGGTACGGGGAAAGGGACCGTCAGCGGAGCGGCGCCGGACGGTGTTGCAGGAGGGAGGGTCCGTTTGCCTGCGGATCTGGCCGCCAGACATGGGAGAGAAGGTCCGAGCGCAGGGGGGGGGGCGAGAGCTCTTGCAGTTTTGTGTGCTCCTGCGCTTTCTGTAAAAATCGACGGCGAGCGGAACACCGGAGCTGATACGGACGGTGCAGATTGCGCACCGCGCTCGCCGCTTACTGGCCCATCAACGGCTGTCAACGGGGAACCGTCTGCTGCGGCAGAATCCGAGGGGCTTCAGTCAGTGTCTCCGGCCCCCATGGAGATCGACAAAGCATTCCGTCCGGAAGGAGCGATTCTGGGCGCTGAAACGGAACTTCAGCGGAAGGAATCCGGAGCGCACGCCAGACTCCCCTCGCATCTTGCTTCAGAGGCGAATGGAACGACAGGGGGCGCGGGACTGGTGCCGGAAATTGACACTCTGCCGGGAGTTGCGCCTGCGCCGCAGCCTGCGGCGGCAGACGCGGTGTCAAACGAACCTGTCGCCCAGAACGGAGAGACTGCGGCCGAAGCTCCACAACCTGAGAGTTGCGGCTTATTGGAAAGTCCCGATGGAGAGAAGCGCGAGTTGCGGTCAGTAAAGCGGGCGAGAGCGGAAGGGGGGGTCCAAACTGGGGCGGAAGAGGGGGGTTCGGCAGAGGGAACGCCGCCAGCGAAGCGCCCAAAGCTTATGAGCAGAAAGGAGCAAGAGATTATAGAGAAAAGGGAAGCCGCGGCCCTCCAGGCTAGGGGGAGTGCTCAGCCGCTGGCAACCGAGTCGGGGGGGAGGCTTCGCCCGGCAAACCAGGCCCCCCTGCGGAGTCTGGGACCCGGGTATCAGAGCGCAAAAAATGGGAAGCTGAAACCGAAAGCGAAGCCTGGTTCGGGTACAGCTAAGGGGATTCTGGTTCAGCTGAAGAGCGTGGCGGGGGGGCTGAAGCCGGGCCAAAAGAAGGGGGGGGCGAAGAAACGGCGGAAGGAAGAGGGGTATGGCGGAGCGGAATGGGACATTTTCCGGCGGGAGGACGTGCCAGCGCTCCGCGACTTTCTGCTGCGGCACCGGGAAGAGTTTTTGCACTTCAACGAGCAAGTCATTCCGCGGGTGGGTGTCCCGTCGCTCTAACGATCCCTCCGTTCAGGGTCTTGGGAATCCAGGAGTCGAAAGGCTGCTTCCGCTACAACCACATTCAGAGACGACAATTGTCAGCACGTGACGTAAACTAGGCATATGATGCACATGCTGCGGATGCGTGCTTCTGTACCGACTGTTCGGTTACCATTTGAGCTGGAGCTCTGGGCAAGTGCCGTAATTCTCTCTGCCAAGACGACAAAGTCTGCGCAACGGTTGAAGCGCTCTCCAGCTAAGCGGCCGCAGCCTGAGCGAACGGATCCGATCTGGCCTTTCTCATGCTTCCGCTGTCCCTCTTCCCGCGTTTCCTCGCAATAATCTACTTTGCGTGAGTTGCCTCCCGTTTCTTCCACTCTTCATTTCCTCTTAACGGCCGGTTTTGTGCTAACCCGCAGGTTGACCACCCCATCCACGACCAGACCTTCTTCCTGACACACGAGCACAAGCGAAAGCTTAAAACGGAAACGGGTGAGATTTTGGAAGGCTTCTCATCTTGAAAGAAAGAAGGGAAAGGGTGAAGCGTAAGAGCCTATTGGAATGAAAAACGAAGCTTGAAATTAAGGGCGCCCCTTGATCATTGCAGTTCTCTACGGTTGTTGACGCTGGCTTTGTGGGCGCCGTTCATTCGCATGACTTGAGAAGCAGTCAAATTGCTCCTTATAGCAGGGTTCTGCTGTAAATCCAGACTTCGAAGGTGGAAAAGCATACCAGGCGTTAAAAAGCCTGCACTTGTCATGCGGCCAGATCGTCACACACACCACGAAGCTTATGCTTCTGAGAACCGGTCCTGAGAATCTAGAAAGGGCTGTGTCAGACGTTCAAGTTCTGAACACCGGATTCCGCACCTTGGAACTCGAACCCGACCGCTGAACCAGGTTCGGACCTGGGCCTTGAACGCGAACTTCAAAAATGTGCGTGCAACTCTCATCTTTGTCGCGCCGCGCAGGCGTTGAGCCGTGGACGTTCGAGCAGTACGACGGGGAAGCGGTGTTCATCCCAGCGGGGTGTCCTCACCAGGTCCGAAATCTCAAGGTGAGGTCCGAAAAGGATCTTTGCCCCAGTAAAGCTTGTCTTCTAAAAGCGGAAGCTTAGTGCTAAAATGTGAAAGCTTATGGGCTGCAGATGACAAGGCGATGTAAAACGCCCCTCTTAAACTTCTGCGCCGTCCGCTTCCCTTCTAGGAAAGAGGCTTTGGTTCATGAATGGCCTCTTTCCAGTTAAACGCGTCCGAGCTTCGGCGGCATGGCTTCTCAATTTGCCTCGTGATTACCTGCTCCTTTACGCCCAAAAGACGCACTTCTCTGTTGCCGCTCCGCATTGGATTCCCCGCAGTTTGCATCCCCTGAAAACGTCAAAAACCGGTAAGTAAGTCATATCAGATCAGCAGCATCAGAGTCTCCCCATATCTGGTGTCTGCGTATCTAGTTTCTTCCCTAAGCCGATCTCAACTGCGTGCAGTCGTGCGTCAAAGTGGCGGTCGACTTCGTGTCCCCCGAGAACGTGGACCAGTGCATGGCGCTCACCGAGGAATTCCGGGCGCTGCCTGCGGGCCACCGCGCAAAGGAAGATAAGCTGGGGGTAAGATACCTTTTGATTTTCTTTAAGGGTGGCTGCTTCTCAGCAAAACCTTCTATACTCTAAGGGCGCGATAGGGCGGGGACAATCGAGGAGACTGACGTCTAACTCTAGTTCTACGTCAGATGCTCAGGATGACCTCCGCGAAACAGTCGACAATTTGGAGTCTCAGCTGATTCTTGCCTGGACTGTGGTAAGACAGAAGTTGGAGTTGGGGAATCGGTTCTGAAGACAAATATCACGATCAGGCGGGAATGCTGTAAAGTTCGGTTCAGCCCTGTCGAGAGATGAAGGCTGCTTCAGTCCTTTCCTGCGTGCGTCTTTTTAATGACGTTGCTGGATGATTCGCCCTGAGAAGCGATGTTGAGGAGGACAGGGAGACAAACCGACGACCTTGAACTTAATTTGGGCGGCTGCGAACATCTAGTCCAGGGATCGAAACATTCACCTTTCGACTTCTGGTTCGTATAAATGTGGGGGCACCAAGGCCGTTTTGCCCTTCAACATTGGCTCGTACATTGGCTCGTACTTCTTCCCTCTCGTGTACTTTGTCGTTCCTGCACACTCCCTTTTGCAACCCCAATCCAGATCACTTGTGGCCGCACATCATGCAAAAGCCCGACACTCTAGACAATCGACACTCGTTTCCAGCGCCGCATCGGGCGGCAGTGCAAACGTCAAATTCTTAACCCGACGACAAAGATAATTACTTTCAACAGATGACAAAAGTTGTCGCGATCGACCATTGTACGTGTATTTGCAGGTTAAGCGGATGCTCCTCCACGCGGCCAGAGCGGCTGTGGATGAGGTCAAGCGCTTACACAGGGAGGCCGGAGGAGCGGTGTCGAGAACGCGCCGGCAGGCGGGATGAGTTAGTAACGCAGTTGATGTGAGGCGCCGTTAGGCTAACTGTGACAGAAGAAATGGTTCAGAATGATGCTTTCCACATACACGGCTGCTTCACCGAACGGGCGGCTTGACCGCTAGTGGAGTCCGACCGCGCAACCCCGAGAGTCTCTGTCAAGCCCACGATACGTGGCGCATAGTGGGCCACAATCTTACAGAATGCGGTCGGATTCAAATTGTTTGATAAGATGGCAAAATAGAACAAGTCGCCATCGATTACAAGGATGATTGAGTCTGTACATAGGAACAAGACTCAGCATGTACAGTTAGCACTGGCTACATGGAGCAAGTTCAGCTAGAACCCGATGCTTGTCACTAAGATTTGAGAATGGAATTGCGATAGACCGACCACTCGATCGTGCTTTTTCTTTGGAAAACCGTACCCACATCTGTCAGCGCAAACCCGATTCCAACAAGTGAAACGTTCATCAATCATGCGCTGTGACAGCCGCGAGCCTTGCAGTTCGCACCGCATCATACAGAGTGAAGGCGTTGGCAGTGGGCTATTCGACCACACTTCGCGATCAATCGTGCTTAGTACGTTGCACAATTACGCGGCGGCCCGCGGCGCGTAGCTAGCCTGCCATCTTAATTGCATTGGCCGCGCAACGGTAGGCTGCATCTTGTATTCAATGGCCACGTGTCCATTTATCATGGCCTGGAACCGTCGTACGCGTATCCCACATGTATATGATGCCGTAAAGAGGCTCCCGCGCTGCATGGCTACAAGTGGACTGGATGATCTTTTCCACGAGTTGAAATGCACCGTGACGTCTCCGCCGCTGCCCACTGAGTTACCGAGTCGTACACTCGGTCAGTGAATCATTTGACCATGAAACATGACGGCCGTACATCAAAGATCTTGCTTACTTGAGTTCCTGGCACTTCGGGCTTCTGCATGAGTCAAACATACCATGCACTGTGTGCCAATCAGAGCTTCAACCAGCTTTCGACTTTGACCCTAGATTGACGCTTCTTCTTCGAAGTACGTATGTGCATATGCGGCCGCTTGCTGTGCAGTACGTCGGTCCGTTGTCGATATGTGCCTTCGATAATGAAACAGGTCCCGAGGCGCCCACGAATGTGATGCTGTCGATCTTTGGTAATAGCAGACACTTTCCTTTTACTAGAGTTAAGGGAACTGAAACCGAGTCAGATCTGTACACTTTGTTCCGTCCCTAAGCATCTTGGGGACCCGGCTGCCTCCGAGGCCTCCGCCCTTTTGTATGGTGAACTTGGCCAAAAGGAGTAGGTTCTCAGATGAGGATATTCATGACAAAACTTGTGCAGCGAACTTTTTCACAAGTACGCTGCACAAGCTTAATATTGACATACCACCAGACCAAGATCAACGAGGCGCGGTTCAGTCCTGTTCCAGTACTTATTCCTAAAGCTCTGCACATTACCAGCTGCCATTTCACTATGAGAAGTAAAATGGCTGTTATATATCTATTTTCTGCCTAATTGCCTAATATTTGCCCAACCGCTGGCTATTGAAGGCTAGTTTTAATAGCCATAAATTACTTCCGACCAGCTTATGGCTAGCATTGGCTGGTATCGATAGACATATTCCGGCCGCATCCTCGGACTCCGGCCGGGACTGGCTATTGATGCCCAATCTTGGCTGGTTTCCCCCGGGCGGTGGCTAAGCAGGGCTATGCGGCGGCTAGTTGTCGTCATTAGCCATGTGCCAAGTCTAGCATATGGCCAATAAAATGCTAATATATCGTGATTAGTCATCATAGACAGATCTTAGGCACCGGCCTTTTCAAACCGGGTGTCTATCATGCCTAGTCTGAAATTACTTTGGCTATACCGGCCGATCATAGCCATGGCCGGTAGGCTCATGCCTATTGTAGTTGCGATAGCCAAGATCTAACCTACAAAATGGCTATTAATGCCACTGCTTATTAGACAAAAACTGGTCAAGTTTTTGCCTCATTGTACCGGCCGCATTTACACCTAAATTTGGCCCAGAGTGGCGCCCCGGTGATTGGCGGGACCATGGCCAGTATTACCGTACTAGCCTTGAACTGGGACTCAGTATGCGCCGGGCACTTTCAGACCTGTATAAACACTCAAAGATGATGCCCGGTGATTGCATTCGGGACTTGGCGAGAATTTGAGAATGTTGTCCAAATTACGGTAAGACACCAACCGGCAGTCCTACCGGGCCAATAATTCGCCCCATGAAGGTGCTCGGAAGATGTATCTGCGAGGGCTTTCTATCTTGTAGACTTGCTGCGCATGGGTGCACGGTACCTAAGCTAGCGTGAGTAGGTACCTGCGGTCCCCATCTGGGGAACCGACAGCCTACCGGGCATACATTTGCCCGTCTCCGCAGGCAAACGAGTGCCCGGTAGGTAGGTATCAGGTTATAGGTTTTAGCAAGTCGGAATATGTCGGTGAGCTTTCATAACCTGTCTGGTTAAGTTGCTTGGTTTATGCTGACATCATGGTGATGTAACGTGCTTGTCTATGACTCGGGTTCGATCCTCATTGCTGCCACTTCGCTGTTGCACACTTTTCTGCGATGTTTGTGATACTAGGCGTGACTGGCCAAAGATAGCCATCGAATAGCTACCCGGGTGGAGATTCCGGGTTAGCTTGGACAGCCAAAAGTTGGCCGCAGGGGTCGATAGCCAGGTTAGCCAACCATGGCTAGTTTATGTTAGCCTGGGCTATCAATTATGGCTAGTCGGACTACTAGCTATAATATGGCCGAGATTAGACATGCCCTAGACATGCGAATTTACTAGGCAAAAAGCTGGTCATATAGGCAAACGATAGACACGGTATGGCTATTGTCGTGCTAATATTGGCCAATATAAGCCTACTATTCGCCTAACATTTGGCTAATCGGCTAGCTAAAAAATAGCCAAGTTGCTTCCCATAGTGAATTTACAGCAAATCCCCAAGCACAAGCTGTGACATTCTCTTTTATAAAATCCCTCCAATTCGACAGAATGTACAGTATCAGAAGCGGAGAGTACATCAGGTGAAGTCTCCACCAGGGACGGCGCAGAACCGAGTGGCCCTTCGCCTCCTCTAGTTCCCTTTTCAAAATCCTATTTTCATTCCGTAGCTGCTTTATTAAAGCCCCTTGACTGCTCCCTCCCGAAAACCCACCCTTAATTGCAAAGTATCGCAACCCCCCATTGCGTTTCTTGAGCCACTCAAACGCGGCCCCCACTTCTGAGGAGTGCCCACCTCTGCTTTGCATCGCCTTGCAGTGTGCCGGAAAATTTGCGTAAGCGCTCTTGAGAGCTTGGGCGTAGTCCCAATCGGGAGCGGGGTTGAGTAAAATTGTGACGGTTGGACAGGGTTTACACGCTGCCTGTCTAC